TATAATTGAATAAAATATATATAATATATATATGTCATTTTGTAGAAAATAAATTTTTTTATAATACAAATAAACAAAAATTTATAAATATATATATGTATATATAAAATATATTTTATACAAATTAATATACATCTATATTATTATGAATCTGTTGTCTACAGTTTGGCCGACCCAAACTGCGGCAGATTTGACTTTATTTTTTATTTTTTTAAAATTAAAATATAATGTGTGTTTCTTTTGGTTGAGTTTGAGAAATTTTAGTTTGAGTTTGGTATTAAAATAATGTTTGATGTTATATTTTGTGAGAGGAAAACATGTATTTTTTTTTTCGGAAAACTCATCGTCCAAATAGTAAAAATTGAGAAAATTGGGGTAAAGAAACATAACCTTAATATTTATTATAATTATAAGGGAAAAAATATATAAAATATATATGTCATTTTGTAGAGAATAAAATTTTCTATAATACAAATAAATAAAAATTTGAATATATATGTTGGGTATAATATAAATTCATAATCAAATCATACAATATAAATTTTATCAATTAAATTTAATACACATTTATATTATTTTATTCATTATCCATCAAATCAATACACATAAAAAACTCCCAAAATCTCAACCAAACCCAAATACAAAAGAAACAACAAAATTCAAACCCATTTCAAAATTCAAATAAAAATCAAATCCAAACCGAAATTTTTCCAAAAAGCCCATAAAGAAACACACCCTTTGGGATCATAATTTCGATATTTTATAATTTAAACTTGCACAAATCAAAGGTTTTGAATTCGGGGTTAAATTTTAAGTAAATTATCCTAATTTTTCTTCAAATAATAAATCCAATTAAGTTTTTTTTTAAAAAAATCATCCTTACAAATTTTCTTCCTATCAAAAATTAAAATTAATTACCTTGTACGCTTTTTTATCCATAAAAAATGATGACATTTTAATATATACCGAGTGACATATTACAATATTTCAAAGATCATATTTTATAGATCATGCCATCATCTGAATTGCATAAATTATCATGACCCGACGATTGTATAATTTTTATGTCCTGATTATGTGTACACATCATATTTCGGATACGCTGATAATAAAAGTTTTTCCATCCGGATAAAAATATAAAAGAAAAACAAAAGCTATGGTCCGTGGAAAGAGGTGGTGAATAATTTGGTGCACTTAGATTTGTAGGAATAATTGCTTTGTGAAAGGAGGTGGCGGATAATTTTGTGCACATGATCTATAAGAATAATTGTTTTGTTAATAAGTTAATAATGCATATTAGCAATAACCTTTTAGTAGTACTAAATAATTAATAAATAACTATTATATACTATTGCAAGAGGATAAAGATAAATGAGTCAATTATATACTCTTTTTGTCTCATATTTATCTATTTATTTATTTTTTCACGGAATTTTAGAAATGTTAATATTATATTGGGATGTAGTAGAAATAAAGGTAAAAAGACTAAACTAATCTTATTAGTATTGTATGATATAAAAATAATATCATTTGTATAATATATTATAAATTGGAAGGGTATTTGTAATATCAGGTGGATAGTACCGTTACTTAAAAAAAATGAATACTTTATCATGAGACAAACCAAAATAGAAAAATATATAGATTGTTAAGGGACCGAGAAAGTATATAATTGTTAAGGGACCAAAATAAAAAAGTGTATTAACTTACTAGTTGCAGATTAAGGAATTGGATAATTTGATGGGTTGATTTGGAATAATATCTTTTATCTGAGCTATATAAAATTATATATGTAATATAAAAATAATAAATGTATAGCGTATCAATTATTTTTTGGATAAATGTTCTGACCCTAATTAAAATTGAAATATAAATTAATTAACTATTAATTATATATACAGCTGTAAAATGGGACCATGGCATGAATATTTATGTCCCTCTATGTATATATTTCAAGAAATACATATGATCCACTTGTGCAATTATTTCTGCAATATTTACAAATTTAATAATACTAAGCATATTTGCACTATTGTTTTTGGGTGTTTTAAATTTACTGCCTTTGTTTATTATTGATATTTCATAACAATTATTAAATATGTGGGTTCAAATCCTTTGTTTTAAATTAAATTTTTATATTTAATTAAATAAAAAAGTAAAAGAAAATTCAAATATCCTTTCCAAAAAGTCAAAAAAATTCAATTTAAAATATTATATTTTATTTTTTTATATAATTTTTTGTTCCACGCACTAAAAATCAATTCATTTAAACATGTAGGATGAACCGAACCAGTATTAATAAGAAACAACTTTAAAATATAATTTTTTTTAAAAAAAAATTATTTTTACTATATACATCATTAAAAAAGAATAATTAAAATATGGGTGTGTTTACTTATAATGCTTTTTTATTTTGATTATGAATAGTAAAATTTTAAATTGAAATTGTTGTTTGATATAATATAAATATACATTGACGATATGTTTTGCATATGAAATTAGATTTTAATGTAATAAAATAAATAAAAAAATAAATATTTAATTTAATATTTTTTTTAAAAAAATTAAAATACTATAATAAAATTAAAAATAAAATCTCATTAATGAAACAGAGCCGATAAAGTATTACATAATTAAATTTAATAATAATGTTTTCTTTACAACTAGTTATGATATATGCATTGATTTCGGTGAGGGTGGGCATATAAGGGACTGCCTAGAGTGGAAATTTTTCTAAGACCAGGACTACAACACCAGAAAAGATCCAAACCATCCATACTTGTGAGATCTACGTTCTACACAACACAATTGTTCTCATTGATCGATTCCGGTCCTTGTAGTCCCGGGACCATCATCTTTCAGTAGAACCCCCTGAATTCAGACAAAACCGGGTAAGAAGTTAGGAGCTGTTTGTTTGGATTTTTATCCAGTAAATTTGTTTTCTTGTCGACTTGAGTTATGTCGTACTGTTTCTAGTTATTTTTATTTTGTTATGTTCATTTACAATTTCTTTCTCTTGTATAAATATGTCTATATATATATATATTCATATGGATTATAAATAATTTACGGTTAATTATGTAGATATATTTTTATTTTTAGACTATTGGATTTGTATTTTTTATTTTTTTTATTTTTATAAAATAGCATGCAATGTATCTTATTAAGGTATAATATTAAAAACAATTAATTAGGTTGTGTGGTTTTTTTTCTATATATATAATATATTATATTTTATTATTTTATAAAAAATAAATATTCAATATAAAATATTAATTTTTATGTATTTACACAATTTTTTATAGTTCACACCAAAAAATAATACATCAAATCAAAACACTAAACAAATAAATCCGTAGTGTTTATTATTATTATTAAAAAAACTATCTAATTAAATATTTAATTTTTATTTAATATATTACTAAAATATTAAATACCCTTTATTTGGTATTATTAGTAATAGCAACTTTTCAAAAAAGTATCTTACTTAAATAATTATTTTATAGTAAATGTCAATCTTTTTACTTTTCACAAATTTTTTAAAACTTAAAAAAAACTATTTCTTCCTTCTAATTTGAACCGCGTCATATTTGAAATTTTATAATAGATTAAAAACTAATATTATTTTATTGGTCAGTAAAAATTTGTAAAATTTTTTAATATTTTTGTCATTTGAGTTTTTGTATAAAGTAATTGCACGTGTAATAGTATGTTTGTAATTTAAATAAAAGTGAGAATAATTTGTTATTAGTGTACGATTACTTTTTCTAAAATAAAAAAAATAATACTTTGAAATGGAAGAGGTGAAAATGATAAAAGTAATACTCCCTCCGTCCCGGTGCAAGATTGATGTTTACTTTTTGTACGTAGATTTTTAAATATTAGTATTATAATGGGTTGTAGTTAAAAAGACGAAAATGCCCCTATTAGTATTGTGTAATATAAAAGTAATGACATTTGTGTAATATAGTGTAAGTTGGAAGGGTATTTATTATGTTAGGTAGGTACTACAATTACTAAATTAGAAAATAGTAACCTTGTTTTGGGACAGAAAAATAAAAAATGACAACCTTTCGTTGGGACGGATAGAGTATTTGAATTGAATTGAAACGAGAGGAATATTAATTTTCATTCAATAATAAAATATTATCAATCAATTATTTATATCAAATTAAATGTTACTACGATATTCAAACAACTACTATCTTTAACTCAAAATTTTATCCCTTTCAAAATTCCAAATCCAAATTCAATCCTACTATATACATTACTCCGTATTACCGTAGACACATAAATTTAGGTAAAATATAATTAGTAAGTAATTAAAAAGTATATTAATAAAAATAATTATAAATTAAAATTAAGATAAGTAAATGGTTTAATTAAAATTAAAAAAAATTATAAAATTTAAAATATTAAAGTGCATAATTATATTTTCAAAAATAAAAAAAAACAGTTATGTGAGACGGACAAATATAAAAAATAAAAACAAATGATGTGGATCGAAAGTAGTATTATTTTTCCCAAACCATGTGGGCAAATAGAAAATTCAACAAATTGACAATAAAGGCAAAAACTACCCACGGAAGATAATCATAATAATAATAATAATAATAATAATAATGGGTACAAATCCTCGCTTCATTATCACCTGCTACATATGGTTAGCCTAGTTTGTCTTTCTAGTTTACAGGTATATATTAGGTTCGATCGCACTTTCGGATAGTGGATACGATTCTCACGTCAAAAAAAAAAAAAAAATAATAATAAAATAAAATAAAATTAATAATAATAATAATAATTCCTGTTTTGGAGCAACCAATACTTGTTATTCTTCCTTACCTGAATTCGTCTTCTTCCTTTTTCGACAAAAAAGTTTCTGCAAATCGTATTTATCATCGTTCCCAAATTTGATTTGACTCCTTCAATTCTTCATTACTTTTTTTTTTTTTATATATATATAAAATAAAATTGTTTATTATTATAGGGTTTCAGACGTACTGTATTAATTTCAACTGCTCCATTTATTCATTCCCAAAACTGCTTCCTTCCCATTTCTCTCTCCATCTCTATCCCTCTCTTAACTGCTGCATTTTGTTTCTCACTGATAGATATATAGAGAGAGAAAGCAATATATATATATATATAGAGAGAGAGAGAGAGAGGTTCAAGTACCGCAGAAGAAGAAGAAGAAGAAGATTAATAATGGCTTATTTGGGGGAAAAAAGATTTCTTATTAGAATCATTTTTGCAGCTTCTCTGCTATTTTTTACTTCATTTTCTCAGCTTCTTCCTCAAGATGAAGGTAATATACATACACCCATCTGTATCTATTTATATATATATATGCTCTCTATCTAGAACCATTTTCATTTTCATTTTCTATATATTTTTAATTGAATTTTGAATTAGGGTTTCTTATGCGTAATTGTTGCAGTTTATGAACATTTGGGGATCAATTTTCTGTGTTAGTTGAAATAATTTTGAATGTGATGAAATTTTATGTGAAAATTTAGTGCCAAATGTTACAGTAGTTGGAATTTGGAATTTTGATTGAAAATTATGTGAAGGATTGTACTATTATTTTTATTTTTATTTTTTATTTTTATTTTTTGAAGATAACAATGGAGGTTGATGTGTGAATTTTGTCGTTGTCTTTTATTTAATATTATTTATATTTATTTATTTATTTATTTTATTATTATTATTTGGATCTGTCAGCAAATGGCAATTATTGTAGCTTTTTTCTTGATGACGATGAGGTTGCTCTGTTAATGTCTGGAAATGGATAATATAATAATAATAATAATAATATAAAAAAATAAAAATAATAAACTAATAAATAATTGATTTTGAAATGAGAAAGATCTGTTTTGACTTTTCGTTGGCGTCTCTCTCAGACAGCTTTGGTTTTGTCAGCAGTCTTATATGAATTTATTTTTTTTGTATTTTCAAGATTAAAAAAATATCTTAATTTGTTTTCTTTTTTGGATGCGTTTTGTAATATATATATTTATTGATTTACAAAATCCCTTATGTTTAACGTGATTGATTTGAAATTATTTGCTTTTAATTTTCGATCAACTTCTAATTTAATAAAACCTTTAGTCCTAAACTGAAGTTTTAGTATTTGAATTCTAAGTTTGTCGATTTTTCTCTTGCAAAATATCTTATCATATACTCCGTTCCATTGAAAAGTTATCATTTTTCATTTTCGTTCGTAACAAAGTTATCATTTTTTAATTTAATAATTGTACTACCTATTTAATATAATAAATACTATTTCAACTTACAATATGTTACACAAATGTCATTACTTTTATATTACATCAGTATTTTTGTCTTTTTTATTACAATCCAATATAATAACTGTAAAAAGCAAACACCACCCTTCCAGCGGGACGGAGGGAGTATTATTTTATTTCTAAATTTAAACCAAAATTTTTTAAACCCCATAAAAAAATCTTATCTCAAAATCAATTTCAAACACACAAACAAACTTAATTGTTTTTTAATTGACATGTTTTTTTATATAGAGTATAAAAAATTGTGTCCTTAGTATAAAAAATAAATAAAATTTTGTGTTATTGTTAAGTTGTTGTGAATTTATATTATATATTGTGTGAATATTTATATATTACTCCCTCCGTCCTAGATAATATGTGCCTACAATAATTTAGGTAAAGTATAATTAGTAAGTTATTAAGAAATGTATTAGTAAAAATAATTATTATATACTAAAAATAATTATAGATTAAGATTAAAATAACTAAATAGTTTAATTAAGATTTAAAATTTTTTAAAATATGATTAATGTGTATAATCAATTTTCCAAAAGAAGAAATAACAAATTATGTGGGACGGACGAAAATATAAAAAATAAGGACAAATTATGTGGGACGGAGAGAGTAGTATACTTGTGTTTGTTTGAGGGATTGAATTTTGAGTTGATATTTGAATCGTACAATTTTTGAATAATAATAGTTGTATGATGTGATATAAATAGGTATTGACGTGATGTTTTGAATGTAAAATTAATTTTTAATATAATACTTATAAAAAATAAAAAGTAGGTATTTGATTTGATGTTTTGAGAGGGAGAGAAATTGGATGAATAGTAGGATTTGGCAAAAATCGTTTGTCCTTTAAACGAACACACCTATTATGATGTGTTTGTTTAGCAGATTGGATTATAAATCCAGTATTCATTCCAATTTTTCTCCTAAAAAATATTAAATTAAACACCTATTTTTTATTTTTTATATTATATTAATAATTAATTTTACATTGAAAACATCACATCAACGATACAATTATTCAAATTCAAAATTTTTACTATTCAAATTCCAACTCAAACTCCAAACAAACACACCCAGAATAAAAATAATTTTTAATAAAATATTTTATTTGATAAAATAAATATCAAATGTGGCATATTCTTTAGAAATAAGAAATACTCTATACACGCTTTCAATCTATTTATTTTTTTTAATGTAAATAATATTTGATAGAATGTTTTGTGAGAGAAGAAAATGTATTTTTTTCTGGAAAATTTGGTTAAAGAAGCATACCCTAATATTTTGTGTTTGATGGGTACACTGCAAGTGTGTTGACTTTGGAGGTTTGGATTTTGAGGTGAAATTAGAATAGTAAAAGTTTTGAATTATAATGATTGTGCGATGTGATATTAATATGTATAAATATGTATTGATGTGATATTTTTAATATAAAATTAATTTTTAGTATAATATAAAAATAAAAAATAAGTATTTTATTTTATACTTTTTACAGAGAAAAAATTTGATAAATAATAGTAAAATTTTACCAAAATCCTATAAACGAACGCACAGTAATATAGTATTACCTTAATGCTTTGTGGAAATCATATCTACACAATTATAAAATAGATCCGTTAGATGTGGTCAATCCAAAATAATAAAATAATATATTGATAAAAAAAAAAAAAAACAAAAATAGGAAGTATAACAAATATAAATGGTAAATAAACAATAGTTATTTATTTATTTTTCAATTGAATTCTTTGTCCAAAATAGTTAAAACAACGTTCGTACTGACGAACAACGTTGTCTGTAACAGTTGAAACTCTTCGAACAATATCCTCGAATCTTCGGATCCCGTATTGGAATCTTAGTCGAAGCGCTTGCAACGATGCCAAAGGTTTCAACGTAACCATTGTCGATGGCGACTACGACATATATAGCCGCGTGGGGTGCGATTGTTCATTCAATAGCAACACCGTGTGCCATGTCACGGCCATGTACGCTACGCGCCGTTTTTTCACTTAAAATTCTTATTCTTACATGCGCGCGTATACTTATGTATGTGTATACATAACTCGATCTTTTCCTCATTGTCTTTGCCTCGACAGCGAATTGAAGGGACTTAATCTAACCGGAAATTTGCCTGAAGCGTTCGCGAATCTCACTCACCTGAACTTGCTGTAAGTATCATTGCTGACGGTATTCGCCATTCGAATAATTGGCTTTGATTTTGTTAATATATATGTAGAAGCAATATATTATATTTATGGTAGTTGTCTTATTTAAGAGATTCGTAGGATTCTTAGACGATTTGTATATCACTCATATTCTTATGATTGAAATACAGCATTTCAGTTTCATATTCTAACAGTTTTGAACATTCTGTTTCCCCGTTTCAGCGATCTAACACGGAACTACCTCAACGGTTCGATTCCTAGAGCGTTTGGACGGCTTCGTGTTAAAACATTGTAAGTTTTTTTTTTTTTTTTTTTTTTTTCATTTTTTGGAATAATTGCTTATAATCTATCGGTGGTTTGAAAAATATATATCATAAACATAAAAACTGCGCAATCTTTCTCATGTTCTAAAAAATATTGTATAAAATTTCTTAAACTACAGTGTTCGGACAACAATCATCTTCACCGATCATTAAGTGTAGACATTTCGAAGATTTTGTACAATATTTTTTAAAACATGAGAAAAAGTTACACAATTTTTAAATGTCCGAGGCATCGAACGATGCTTACGTGTTTTGTTGTAATAGATCACTTCTCGGGAACAATCTCACCGGTCCGATCCCGGATGAGATCGGCGACATCACAACGCTAGAACAGCTGTAAGTATTCAGAGCTATACGAATCTCATTTCTCGAATACGATAACTTTATACGTTGAATACCGTCTATTCATATGCTGAGTAACGATCATTTCATGGCACCGGTGTTGTCCGATTTCTTGCAGGGTTTTGGAAGACAACATGCTCGAAGGAAATCTCCCGGCGAGTTTGGGACGGTTGAGAAATTTGAGTCGAATGTAAGATTTCCTCGACCATTATCCTAACATTGTCGTTAGAAAAAGTTGATTCGATCATCTCGTCTAAAAGCTTTAAATTTGAATGCTGCAGTCTTTTCTCGGCGAATAACTTCAACGGGACGATACCAGTAGAGTACGCCAACCTAACGAGCTTAACAGATTTGTAAGTAACAAAATCGTCCTTATCCAAGACATCAACGAGCTAGTCGCATACGAAGCTTATATCTACGCATATATATCGATATACTCATCGAACATTCTTACTATCCGCAGTAGGATAGACGGGAGCTCGATATCGGGAAGAATCCCGGATTTTATAGGCAACTGGACGCTACTCGATCGATTGTGAGTCTAGACTTTCGTCATTACATCATTCGATATTTATCCCGGAAAGACTAACGAAATCTTCCACAGAGATATACAAGGAACGTCGATGGAGGGCCCAATCCCAGACACCATTTCCCGGCTCGTAAACTTGACGGAACTGTACGTAAGCCTAATATATCGTCGAGACCGTTGAGAGGTCGAGATATTCGTTCGATGATCTCGATTTTGTTCAATTTTCAGGAGGATATCGGATCTACATGGCCCGAGTATTCGGTTTCCCAACTTGCAAGGCCTAAAGAATATGCAAGAGTTGTGAGTACCGTATTTCGGATCGAAGCTAGGCTGCATTTACTTTTCGACTACGGGAAGCTAATCTTTGAATCGAATATTGATGCAGGATACTAAGGAATTGTTCGATCAACGATTCGATCCCATTTTACCTCGGCGACATGACTGAGCTCAGAAATATGTAACGATGTTCTTCCCCTGTTTTTTTCTCGACTGTTTTCGCTGTACATCGGGAGTTATATCGCTGACGGGCTTCGTCTGGGAACTATGTTCTTGCAGAGATCTAAGTTTCAATGAGTTGCGCGGAGAAATTCCGGGGAATTTCAGTTTGCCGAGACTGAATTATCTGTACGTAGTTCAGATCGAGCTCGATCCGCGTCTTTCTTACTCTTCGTTTAAGTATACTTATTCGACGATGAATTCCTACCGTGTAGGTTTGTGTCGCACAATTCATTAACTGGTAACATCCCAGGATGGATCGTGAATACCCGACAAAACATGTAAGAATTCTAGGCCGTCATCGACTTCTTAAGGACATGTTTCGATACTTACATTGTTGTCGCTTCAGGGATCTCTCGTACAACAACTTCACCGGGTCGACTCCAGTCGGGTGTCAATCCTCAAACTTGTAAGCATTCATAATATACATTTATCGATCTTTTTCTGGGCGCTCAAACAACTAACCTAACATCGTCGCAGGAATTTAGTCGCCAGCCACTCGGCCGCAGCCCCCAGTTCGTAAGTGTTTTCGCTATTTTTCGATCGATCTTTCTTACGACGCTGGACTAAATTACGAAGCCTATTGGTTTTTGGACAGCATTCCGTGGTGTCTGAAGCCGGACATCCCCTGCGATTCAAGCTCCCGATGTAACTACAAACATGGCATCTGTTTTCTTCTCATATACTTCGTGCGATTGATGCCTTCATAACCATCGCATCATTTTGCAGATCACTCGTTCTTCGTGAACTGCGGAGGCGAGAGGACGACATTCGAAGGGGAAGAGTATGCGGAGAACTCGAACACGAATGGACCGTCGCATTACGAATACCACAACGAGTGGGCGTATAGCAGCTCGGGGCGATACATGGGGAACGATCGAGCGCTATTCATCGTACGCAACGACTCTCCAATGAATTCGCCGGATTCGGAGATCTACCGAACCGCTCGACTTTCCCCATCGTCCATCAAATACTACGGCCTTTGCTTGCGCTCTGGGAATTACAGAGTTCGCCTTCATTTCGCCGAGATAATATTCTACGACAACGCAACGTATAATAGCCTCGGTCGAAGGCTATTCGACATAGCGATCCAAGTAAGTCATCGTATATATATAGTCGAATTCTTTGCAAACTTTCTACAATTAGCTAACGATACCGGGATTTCTCTAATAGGGGAGGGTTGTCGAGTCGGACTTCGATATTATGAAGGAAGCGAATGGCGTTAGAAGAGGGATTTATCGGGATTACAACGTCGACGTGAACGGGAGCACGCTCGAGATTCACTTGTATTGGAGAGGAAAGGGGACTACGGCTATTCCGATTCGAGGTGTATACGGTCCTTTGATCTCGGCCGTTGCCGTTACACCGAGTATGTATTCGTGAAATCTTGATATTTTTGTTCTCTTTCGATACACATTATCGATACTATTCTTTCTATATCTCTAGATTTCGAAGTGAAGACGGGAGAAGGGCTATCGGCGGGAGCGATTGCTGGCATCGTCATTGGGTCGTTATCCGTCGTAGGTTTGATCTTAGCCCTTCTTTGGATGAAAGGCTACTTAGGAGGAAAAGAAGTCGAAGACAAAGGTATTACATCCGTCGCGAAAATCGCTTTTCTTGCATGCGATGAAACTAAGTCGTAACTACTTGTCTTGTCGATACAGAACTCCGAGCACTCGATCTTCAGACAGGTTATTTTACCCTACGGCAAATCAAAGCTGCCACGGGAAACTTCGACAGCGCTAATAAGATTGGCGAAGGAGGTTTTGGTCCCGTCTACAGGGTAAGTTAACGTAAAAACCGTACGCGTATTCTTACACCGCTCGATTTAGGACATCTTCGAAAGTAAGTCGTCGTGCTCGCTGTTTTAGGGCGTTCTATCGGACGGTACAATTATCGCAGTCAAGCAGCTGTCCTCAAAGTCAAAACAAGGGAACCGCGAATTCGTCAACGAGATAGGGATGATATCCGCCTTACAACATCCGAACCTCGTTCGACTCTTCGGCTGTTGCATTGAAGGGAACCAGCTGCTCCTAATCTATGAGTACCTCGAGAACAACAGCCTTGCCCGCGCACTTTTCGGTATTTTCTAATCCTACTTTTGACAGCTCATGTTTTCTGTTCTTGTCGACAATCTCACTCATGCTATATGTCATTCCTCGCTAAGGTCCCGAGGATCAAAGGCTGAAACTCGACTGGGGGACGAGGATGAAGATATGTGTAGGAATAGCGAGAGGCCTCGCGTATCTACACGAGGAGTCGAGGCTCAAGATTGTCCATCGAGACATAAAGGCGACCAACGTTCTTCTAGACAAGGATTTGAACGCTAAGATATCGGACTTTGGATTGGCGAAGCTCGACGAGGAAGAGAACACACATATCAGCACGCGGATCGCCGGAACCATGTACGTGTCTACCTCTCGAAACATCTATTTTATCGATATTTCGCAAATTCGTCGAAAATAAATTTCGATTTTTTTTTAGAGGATACATGGCTCCTGAGTACGCCATGAGAGGCTACTTAACAGACAAAGCAGATGTCTACAGTTTTGGGATAGTTGCACTTGAAATTGTAAGTGGCAAAAGCAACACTAACTACAGACCTAAAGAAGAGTTCGTATATCTTCTAGATTGGGTAAGGTTTTTCAACATTATGCTATATTACTATGTATTGGTTCTCTTACATGGCTTCTAATCCTAATTGTGGTATCTCTTACAAAGGCCTATGTCTTGCAAGAGCAAGGGAACCTTCTAGAGCTCGTGGATCCAAGCCTCGGCTCGGATTTTTCCAAGGTAGGGGCGATGAGGATGTTGAACTTGGCGCTGTTGTGCGCGAACCCCTCCCCGACTCTGAGACCGTCCATGTCAGCAGCGGTGAGCATGCTCGAAGGGAAGAGTCCCGTTCAAGCACCGCTGGTTAAGCGCGGAGGGATGGGGGAGGACATCAGGTTTAAAGCACTTGAAATGCTGTCACAGGACAGCCAGACACATGTGTCGTCCGCGGCTCATGAGAGCCGAGAACAAAGAGGTGTATCCATGGACGGGCCGTGGATAGACTCGTCTGTGTCGTTGAATAGTAAAGAAGACAGTAGGGATGATTCTTCGACAAGTAAACTTATTCCGGATGTGAAATAGTCGACGAATATAGCAACTATATACTCATAGGGACACATGGATTCGTAAATTAAACCTTCTATGTACGAGCATTCGACAATAGCTAAATTCAGACATGTTGTGCACCAACTAATAGCCACTGAAGTTATATCGAATGCAGAACTTAACTGAAGAAAAGGTAGCATAGCAAAGTTTAAACTCAATCGATGTTGCATAGTTTTGTTTTCTCCAATAACAAATAACAAACTACCGGCAGCTAAAAACCAGATGTTGATGGAAACGTTAAAACTTACCTGGCTTAAATCTTTTCGATGTGACCATGGCTGTCTCCCTTGGATCAAATGTGTTATCTGCAAATGGAATTTACTCAAATTAATATTTTATACACTGTTGCTTCGATTCATCGGTAGCAGCGCATGTACCTGGTTTTCGAGCATCCAAGAGTGAGCTCAAGATCATCGGAACCACATTCTTCGTGGATCCTCTCCCCTTCCCAAGGCTTGACAAGACCATCTGCGCTGCTTCCAAAAGCAAATTCGTTCGTGATCATTTCAGCCATGGGAATATCTGCAGTTTGATCCAAGGCAGCAGCAATAGCAGGGGAGCACGTCCCGCTAGGCCCGGGAGTGCACGCAAGAGAGCCACCTCGGGATAAGTCATCCACCTTGAAGCCAAAAGGGTTGGAAGAGATGAGGCTGAATGTTGGGGAAGATGGACGGCTTTGAGGAATCAACCATTTCGAATCAGGGAGGATCTGTCGGCCGGGGCTCGGTGGGGTGGATAAGGGAAGGAAGGGGTGCTGATTAGGCCCTCCTATAGAAAAAGTGTTGTTATCCCAGTTGGTCTTGATTCGCGGGGATCGGGCAGTAGGAGAGCTTATTGGAGGGGTAACGGGTGCACTGATGGAGCCGCTGTGCATGTAGTGATGGATGAACTTCGATGCTGATGCTGATGCTGATGAAGACGACGATGCAGAGAGGTTCCTGAGCCAGGGGATGAGGGAATTTCCATCGGCATTGTATGCAGATGAAACCGGGCTCGGAAAGGAAGATGACCCTGGGCTCGGGTTGTAAGAAGTGAACGGACTCGGTTGGTAAGAAGAGCAGGGACTAGCCGATGCAGAGCCGCCGCCCATGATGTCCATGGATTCCACTGGTCTGCATCCCTGTGAAGCCAACTCATTAAAACATGTTACCTTCACAAGCTACATATGTATAGAATGTTCAGAATCCAAAACTTGTCACTCGACACTCATCACTAGTTTTCGACTTTAAAACACTCATCATGATCGATCACATATCACTAGTTCAAAGCTTGAATATAATTGATAGAATTAAACATCAAACCTCAGCAAAAAAAAGAAACACAAAACTATTTTACATTATCAAGAGATAGAAAATCCAAAACAGAAGCAAAATGCTTTTAATTTTCAGCTCAAATGCATACTTCTCATCAATATAAACATAAACACTTGTCACTCATCATTAGTTTTCGACTTTTAGTCTCGAAAAACACTCATTATCATCGATCACAAAACCAACCTATTTGTTAAACAGCATTGTACACTAATTCAAAGCTTGAACATAAACAAAAATATTAAACTTCAAGCCTCAGCAAGAAAACAAAAAACACAGATATATTTAACAAAATCCAAAACAGAAACAAATTGTGTTTGATTTTCAGCTCAAATGCATCATTCTCATTAGTATTCAATATACTGAAAAATTACTCAAGATTAGGCAACAAATATCGCTATCAATTTTCTGCAACAAGCAATCTTGACAACATAATTATTACTGAAAAGATTCGTGTTTTTCATTCCAAACAAGCTAAGCATTGCAAACAGTCATGTGCCTTTGCAGGGGCAAATTCTGAGTCCCCAAAATGGGGCCATGGTGTATATGATGAAAGCTGACAGAGGGCCCCAAGAAACAACCCTACTTTAATTCCATCTTAGGGGGAAAATGCAAAAAAGCAAAAGGAAGGCCAAGTAATTCAACAAAGTTTCACGATAGCAGTAAAGAGGATAGATAGTGGAATAGAGCCACTCGGGAAGCAGTAGCTGAAAAAGAGGTCTGCTGCTGCTGCTGCTGCACTTCTTCATCTATCTATGGAAAAAAAGTGAAAGAAACCTCACCACCAAAGATGCTCCCAACAAATTCTAAATCTGTCACACAGAAGAAATAAGATGGCATAGAACAGTAACAACATGTTGAGATTGCACGTTTCTCCAGACATTCCATTGTTTTTAGGTTTTCCTTTTTATTTTCTTTTTCATTCACTAATTTTTTTCCCAATTCCACCATTGTTGAAGAAGAAGAAAAAATCAATAACATTGTGTCCAGAAGAACATACAAATTCTATATACACTGTATTTGAATTGTTCATGGATCTCGTAATGAACATCTAGGGTTAAACAGAGCATTGAATTTTCGAGTTCAAATTCTTCTACTAAACAAACTAAATTCCAACAGAACAGTAAGAATCATGTGTGCGTGTGTATCCTAGAAATCGAATTTGGAGAATAATGGAAAATGAATCAAAATGTTGGTTAATTAAATTAGCAAGTACCTTACGGTAGGTGGTACCGTCAGGTTCAACAGTCCACCCAGCCTCATTGCAGAGCGCCTTGAGGACCTCATTGTTATCGCAATGCTTAGGAAGCTTGTAATTCCCGTAGAGGCGGAGTCCGGCGAATATCTTCGCGGCGATCGCCCTCCGCCGCCGCTCACGACGCTTGTTGTTCTCCCTTTCTTTCCAAGTCGGCGTCCGAGTTCCCCCTGTCATCCCCGCCAACACAAATTACACTCACCGGAAAACGAAAAACTACAAACGAACGTGGAAAATTTACAAAGACGGCGCTCGGTCCTGCGCCATGGCCGGCAATTAGACTAAAAGCAAAAAGCAGCTAGCGGAGAAAACCAGGGGAATAGGGATTCGAGCAGAGCAGGGGAGGGGAGGAATCTAGGGGGGAAATGGAGAATTGAATGATGAGAAGAAACATTAATTAAAGAAGGTAGAAGTTATAGTAGCAGTAGAAGAAGAAGAAGAAGAGCGTAGCCATAGCCATAGGTGGTGCAGGTGATGGTGCAGGTGGGCTACGTCGTAGGCAATTATAACCCCTTTCTCATGTGAATGCCTTTCCCACTATTGACTCAAATTACTACTATAATAATTTTCTTTATACTACTTTTTTTTTTTTTTTTTTCATTATTTAGAATGTAATTTTATGTTTAAAAAAAAATTACATATAAACATATTCAAATATTTTTTACACTGATTTTCAGATTATATATGATTTTGAAATCTTTTGTTATCGTTTTTCAAAATAATTTTATAAATTATATTCAAAAGAAAAAAAATTATGTACAAACAAATAAAATTGTAAAAATTTTTAAATTTTCAAGTTAAAGATAATATCAAATATTTAAATATAATTAAATTTGTTTGCTTTGTGTTTCAAATTAAAACTACTAATACTCACTATTTATCTTATATTATTCTTAATAAAATATATTATTTTTTTAAAGAAAAATATTATATTAAAGTAATACTTAAAATAAAATTAAAAAAAATAAAATAAAACCAACTGATCACACTTTTATAATAACAATAATAATAAAACATTCATGGCATGTGATATTTGGAAAAAATGATGGGTTTATATATATTATTTAAATAAAATATTATATTCAATATTTAATTTTATAAATAATATTATATTTTATTTAAAAATATTAAATGTATATAGCAAAAAATAAAACCATAAAAGAAATGTATTTTTGCCTATGAAAATATTTAGTATGTTGACTTTACATATATATTTTTCAAATATATATCAATTCAGTTTATATAAAACATACACAGCTAGTATGCCTCACTTGTATTTCTACATTTTGGATATCTTTTTAATTATTTTTATAAATAATTAAACACATTTAAAAAAATAAAAAATATTATTCTAATTTACATGATACAAATAAAATACATATAAAAAATACTATTTTTATTTTTTTGTTTTAATGATGTGGTCCATTTTAATTCAACCGTGAATTATAGTGTGAATTATTAGTATTATTATTATTATTATTATTGTTGTTGTAGTTGCTACACACTTGTGTGTGTAAGTGTAATAAATGCTCCCACGGAGGTCAAAAGGTAACAAAAGAATCAAAGGCATGGCCTTTGTTTAAAGGGCATTTAGGGGATCACACACTTTTTTTTCCTTAACCACCGAAAAACACGACCTCGGTCAATCCACACCGTTCATACCAGTGGACGGCGTGGATTCATCCGGACAGAGATAAGTGGGTGGTGGGGCCCAACTCTGGGGGCAGTAGGGTAGGACCTGGACATCTTTAGTTAGCCGCTACATAATAAATAAATAAATGATTATTACATCATCGGATTCGATCCGATTGTCCTCTTTTGCCTTACCAATTTACTATTGCGTCATCATGATTTTCTCACTATCTTTAATAAATAAATAAATAAATAAATCGAAGAAAATACTTCTCTCCACGTATGAATTTTCATTGTAAGTTTGTATTCTTGTAAAATTTTCAAATAGAGAATATTATTTATTTTTTTAAAAAATATTAATATATGATATACTTCATTCTTTATATTGAAATATTATCATTATTTTTTCACCTAAAGTTTTTAATATTAGTATTATATTAAATTATATTAAAAATAATAAAATTATTCCTATTAGTATTATATAATGTTAAAATAATAATAGTTGTGTAATATATTATAAGTTTAAAGGTATTTATTTTATTAGATAAATAGTACTATTATTAAATTAGAAAATAGTAACCTTATTTTAAAATAGAAAAGAATATAAAATAACAATTTTTCAATGCGACAGAAGAAATATATTTATTAATTTATATTTTCTATACAATTCTTTATACATCGCATTAGAAAAAAAAAAAAAAATCCGTTCAAATTATCTTACAAAACAAACATCCCTGCTGCTTCCAAGTCTAACATAAATTGTCCATTTTTTATATTTGGTTTGTCTCACATTATTTGTTTTTTTTTTTTTCAAAAATATGATTATACACTTTAATCGTATTTTATAATTTAAATTTTTTTATTTTTAATCTTAATTAAATTATTTACTTATCATAATTATTTACTTACTAATTAGTACTACTCAATTTTATCTAAATTATCGTATTTACAGTAACGTGAACATATACGGAGGAAATATTTATTAAAAAGTATTCTTTTTAAAAATATCAAATCAAATATTTATTTTTTATTTTTTACTTCCTCTGTTTCACATTTTTTATCTAATATTTCTATTTACGTCCGTCTTACTTTATTTGTTATTTTTTTTAGAAAATATAATTATACACTTTAATCACATTTTAAATTTCATAATTTATAATTTTTAATCTTAATTATACTATTCAGTTATCTTATCTTAATCTATAATTAGTTTATTATATAATAATTATTTTCATTAATACATATCTTAATTATTTACTAATTACACAATATCTAAAACTTTGTGTCTGGGCTAAATGAGACAAATTAGCTGGAACGGATGAAGTATTTGATTTATGATGTAATATATATAAAGTTTAAAAAAAATAAAACGTGTAATTAATTATTTTAATTACTTAATTTTAATAAAATATATACAATATGAATATAATTTTATAGATGATAAAATTTCATATAATACAAATAAACAAAAATAAATAAATATTTATTTATAATTAAAATAAATTAATGTTACGAACAAATAGAAAATTTGTTTATTGAAGAGATATAAAAAATATAAAATTTTAAATAGATTTTGAATGTGTTCCATATGATGTACTCCCTCCGTCTAAAACAAAGTGCAACATTTACTTTTGGCACGAGCTTTTAGGTAGATAGTATTAAGTAGGATAATTTAGAAATTAGGTGATGTGACAGAAAGAGAAATATATATTTTATTTTTTTATTTGGATGATGTGAGGGGATAAAGTGTGGGGTAGAGATTAAGTATAATTAATTATTTCCTATTTTGAAAATATTACAGGGTGTTTGAGACATAGCAAAAAGAAATGTTGCAGGGTGTTTGGGACAGAGGGAGTAATATTTAAAAATAAAAATAAATTGAAAGCATGATATCAATAGGCAACGAAATGGCAATCAAACACACCCTAAAAAATAGTGAAGAGAATGAATGAGAATCATGTACAATAACTATATAAATGTAAATGAAATGTAGAGTTTGTTTGTTTTGTGGAAAAATCAAATATCTATATATTTTTAAAAAATTAATATATTATACATATTTATTATTTTTATATTATTTATAAAATTTCATATACTTCACATTAAAAAAATCTTTTCAAATTATTTTTTTTTTAAAAAAAGTCCCTAATAATTCAATTTGAATTTTTTGTTCAAAATTAAGAATAAGGTGAAATTAACTTAGAGGCAAAAGAAAGAAAGAATAAATCTATCAAATGAATTAAGTATTAGATATTTAGTTTTAATTTAAAATAATTTAATAATTATTTTACTTAAAATTATCAAATTTTTAAATGTAAATTTGTTGTTTTATTATTTTAAACTAAAATCAACTTTATTTATTTGATACAATTTTTTTAAAAAATATATTCTTATTATTATTATTTTACATAATATCACATTAAATATTATTTAAATAAAAATTCAAATCAACATCTCATTTTAAATCAATTTCAAACCATAACCAAACAAACTATATATATTTTTATTGTATTAGTATGAAAAAATACATCAAAAATATAAAAAACAATATATGAGGTTAATTTTATTATTATTATTTTTTTACTTTATTGAGTGTGTAGATTATAAATATTATTTATATATTAGATTAGCAGGTGAATATATTTTATTTTTTGAATAATATTAATTGAAAAATGGGTTATTATTATTATTACTCCCTCCGTCCCACATACCATGTCCACGTTGCCGTTTCTGTCCGTTCCACATACCATGTCACTTTTTTTTCTGGAAAATAATTATACACTTTAATCTCATTTTAAACTTTTTAATTTTATTTTTTTAGAATTTTAATTAAATAAATTAATTATCTTAATCTTAATTTATAATTATTTATATTATAGGATAATTATTTTCATTAATACATTCTTAATTATCTATTAATTACATCCCTCCTAAAATATCGTGTTTACATTGTAGCAGACGCAGTATGTGGGACGGACGTAGTATTATTTTCATTGAGTGGAAAATTCTAAATTTTACAATGGTGAAAAAGTAAAAAACATTAAAAATTTCTAATGTACTTGTTACTATATACATATATAAAGGTGATAGATAAATAATAAAATTGGAATAAATGTAAGAATTTTAAACAAAATATGATGTTAATTTTTGGTATTGCTAAAGGCTACATTTATACAAAACTACCACTTGTACAACAGCGGACCTAAAAAGAAAAAAATAAAATAAAATAAATTGGTGATACAATATATAAATTTAAAATAAAATAAATTAGAAACTCAAATTCATTAAACAATAATAATAATATAATAATATTATGTTTGCATATAAAATTTTAAAATATAAATTAATTATTTTAATTGGATAATTATTTGAGTATTAGTTACATTAACATTTTAAAATTTAAATTATTCACTCACACTTTTTAACTAATAGTATAATTTTAAATTTTTAGTAAAAGTGTAAAACACTATAGGTTCTGTTTATTTTTAAGATATTATTCATAATTTTATTATTTCAATTTTATTTTTTCTTCAAAATATAAAATCAAATATTTAATTTTTATTTATTTTATTACATTAAATTTTAATTTTACATTCAAAATATCATATCAAACAACTATTTCAATTCAAAATTTTACTATTCATAATTAATACTCAAAATCAAAACCTCTCGTGGAAACACACCTTATAATTTTTTTAATGATAGTACAAGTATTAAATTATACTCCAAATTTCTTTTTGCTCGTCTAAAAGTCATATTTAGCTTTTGCTGCATTATATTTAATATTAAAAATATTTTTATATTTGTATAATTTTTTCATATAAATATTTTTTGTATAAAAATATTTTTTGCAATAATTTTTTAACTTATACTATATTTTTAATATAAATATATTTGTGGGAGCTTTTTTTTATGATGATAATAATAATAAAAAAAAATTATATATTAATAGAGGGGGTAGGGGGACCAAATAGGGGTGGGGTCCAAAATGGTGATAGATGTGTCTGCCACCACACACACAGACACAGCCTCAATCCCTATCACACAATCATGCTCACCACTTTGACTCTAATAAAAACACTTTAAAATAAAATATTTCCTTGGTCCCAAATATTGTGTCTGCTACACTGTAGACACGGTATTTTAGGAGATATATAATTAGTAAATAATTAAAAATGTATTAGTAAAAATAATTATCATATAATATAAATAATTATAAATTAAAATTAAGATAACTAATTAGTTTAATTAAAATTAAAAAATAAAATTACAAAATTTAAAATGAGATTAAAGTGTGTAATTATTTTCCAAAAAAGGAAAGTGACATGGTATGTGGGACGGACAGAAACGGCAACGTGGACATAGTATTTGGGACGGAGGGAGTAACACTTTTATCATAATAACAATAACAATAACAATAACAATCAATAACAATAACGACAATGATAATACTCTCTCCGTCTCAATATAATAGTTTTATTTATTATTTTTATTCGTTCCAAAACAATAGTTTCATTTCCATAAATAATCATATTACCATAAAATTATCTCTACTTTTTCATTATTATTACACAATTACTACGTACTTTTTACACTAATATACTCACAAGAGCAAAAAAAAATCATTTATTCTTAATTTTTACCAACTATCAATATAATATCAATATTTCTTAAATCTCGTGCTCAACACAATAAGACTATATTTTTGAGATGGGGAGAATAATAATTATAGATTTATTTGTCCAATACAATTTTTTCTAGGGCTATTTTTAATATATATTTTATCGTTCTATATATAATGTTATATTTTTTATTTTTGTTTGTTCCATATATATTAGAAAAAAATTATACTTTAATTAAATTTTAAATTTATAATTTTGAAATTTATTTTTTTTTTATTTTTTTGAATTTTTGTGCGTATCTATTTATATGAATTTGTGGTTCGAGTTTTGGTAGGAATTGGTATTCATTAACAAAATTGGTGTATTTATGTGCGCAATTTATTTAGGGTTCGATTGCGATTTTTTAAATTTATGATATTAATATTATTAATATAATTTCACATAGACATAAAAATACATTTAGGCCAAAATACAAAATGAAAGAAACCCAATATATTATCCAATCTCATCGTATATTCCCTTCGTCCTATAAGTAAATATTCATTTGCTTTTTTCACGTAGTTTTAAAAATATTAGTATTATATTGGGATATAGTAAGAATAAAGTAGAAAGGACTAAAATAACCTTATTAGTATGTGTGATATATTGTAAATTGCAAGGGTATTTGTAATGTCATGTAGATAGTACAATTAGTAAAAAAAAATGGATACTTTGTTATGGAACGGATTAAAATGAAAAAATGAATACTTTGTTATGGGACGGATTAAAATGAAAAAATGAATACTTTGTTATGATGAGACGGATTAAAATGAAAAAATAATACTTTATTATGGGACGGAAGGAGCATTAATTTGAAGTCTTGACCAACAAATACCACCCACTCAAACTACGTACAAATCTGAATTAAAAATACATACATTTTATTTATTTTCTCTTCTGCAAATTAGAAGCATACTATCAATATCTAAATAAACTCTTAAGATAAGTAAGAATTATACTTACAGATGACATATTTGTTAGATTTTCTTATACTTTTATTCATCAATAAAATATAATATTATTCTTTAATTTACTTAAATAAATTAATGTATATATTTGAATGAGGAAAAGAAAATCAATTCCATTAAGTGATACTAATAATAATAATAATAATAATAAAACTTTTATAGCTTTTTTCAAAGTGCAATTCTCGAACTATACACCCCTAGTCTCAATTATATGATTATTATTGTTAATATTATTATTTAATTTGACAAATATTTAAAATTGGAATATATGTATAAAATTTAAAAAAATGATATATATTTATTTAAATGAAATATCATTTAATCTTCTATAAGATGGAAGACGTGTATATACATATAAGATTTTGATTTTGACAGTACAATTTTAAATTAAATTAAAATAATTGTTTGATATGATATTTTAAATTAAAATTAAATTTTAATACAATATAATAAATAAAAAATAAGTATTTATTTGATATTTTTTTTAAAAAAAATTAAAATAGTAAAATCAGAAGCAGTAAACTCACCCATATTATAATTGGACAAGTACAGCAGATCAAACAGAACACTCCTCACTACACATACCCTAGCCCAAAAAAAAAAAAAAAAAAAAAAAAAAAAGAAAAAGAAAAAAAAACACAAACAAACAAACAAACATGATCACCAAAAATGAAAAATGTTCTAAGGATCTGGGATCAAGTTTTTAGGCTCACTCAAGACATACTTGGGCAATTCATATCTTGCACCTGTTAAAGTTAAAAACATTCATCCATCAAAATCACATCCATCCATTCAATCCAATCCAATCCAACGGCTATAATTTGATCAAACTTTCGTACCTCGTTCGTCGAAGCAAAGCGTTAAATCCGGGTTGTGAACGATGATTCCGGCGCTCTCGATGATGGCTCGACCGAGGGTGAGATCAGCTTCCGCTGCAGCCCGGAGCGCATCCCAAATTTCTGCCTCGAAAATATGTGAAGACGCCTTTTTTTTATTTTTAATCCAAAAAAATTTAGAACAAATTCGGAATACTCACTCATGTTTTATTAAATAGATCTATATTTTATTTATTGTATGATATCATCGTATTAAATTACATTACAAATAAAATATTTTTCAGTTTAAAACTAATGTTGGTTGTAAATACTCCCTCTATCGTTCAAATCTATGCTCACTTTTTCTTTTGGGTTGTTATCGAAAAATATATATATTTTTTTTTAAGAAAAAAATCATTTCACTTTTGTACAGTTTTTTACTATAAAAAAAAAAAACAATTATTACTAATTTTTATTAAAACTCGTATCCAGTCAAACGAGCACACATTTGCCGATGAAGCAGCAAAAGCTTTGATTATTTTAGATGGATTGGAAGACGAAACGTGGCTTTGTTAGTATAAACGGTAAAATAAAAGATTGGCTATTAATTTATTTTATTTAAAGAATATTATTTTAAGATATTTTATCTTGTTTATTTGCATAATATTTATAATTAATAGTACATTTATAACTAACATTAATATTTTTGTGCGTAATTTAATTAAACACAATAAAATTTTACGGAACAGATAGAATATACTAAAATTTACATGTAATTTAAATTAAAACAAGAGTTTCACATAAAATATAAAATATTCTACCCATTTATATTTAATTAGTTTATAATAATGAATTTTGATATTATTATATTATTTTTTATGTAATTAATAACATTTATAATTTTAAAGTAAATTTAATATATATAATTAAAAAAATTAAAATATATATTTAAATATTTAAAAATTATATAGCAATTAAAAAATATATACAATATAGATATCATTTTGTAAAGAATAAAATTTTCTGTAAATAAAAAAATATTTTTGTTTATTTATAATTAACATAAATCAATTTTATAAAAGATGTGTAATTTTAAATATTCATAAAAATATTTATTTATTAAGAGAAATACAAAAATAAAGAGATTTTGAGTGATTCTAAATGTGATTTATGATATTGTGATGATTTATATTTGTTAAATATATTTTAATTTAATAATTTTTATCAAAAATAAAAAAATACCAATTGTTACCCCGATAAACAAAAATAAAAATAGTGTCAGTTGTGATGAAACAGAGGTACAATTTAACCAAAGAAAGTACCTTTCCGGCCACCATAGTGAGGCGCCGTGTCCCAAAACTCTTCTCTCAGCTGTATCAACTGACTTTTCGTGATCGGTTGGGGATGTTTCCAGGCTTTTGGCTTTCGGATATCTGTAACAGTTCCTTCCAAGAACAAACATCACTATTACAAAATCATTCTATTAGATCTAATAAGCATATTCGATAGGGTTCGTTTAACCGCTCTACTTTCTTACCTGTAGAATTCGCCTGCGACGATCCAACACATCCCATCTTCGACGACTCCAACGAATCAAATCAAATCCAATCTTTCGACAAACTCAATACAGACAATCTGAACACAGTAAGTACATAGGCGGCGAAAAGGTTTAAGGAAAGAGGTTCGTACCGATGCTCCATGTATAATGGATTGCGATAAGTCGAGAGCTCTTTAAAGATAATACAGAACATCCTGAAAAATACTGTCCACAAGAAACAACAATCTTCAAATCGAAAACCAAAAAGCAGTTAAAAGTAAAGCTGTTAGTTGGCTGTCAATCTTCTTCGCTTTCTTGTGACCTGCAGTTGGTTCTTCGACTTTATCGAACACGCAATAAATGTCGAAGCGAAAATAAACAACACTTAAACCAACTAACACAGAAACCTCCGGGAAATTTCTGCGCGCAAACAGCCTGAGGATGATAAATTAGGCGAGAGCGTACTAAGATAGGCGCAATGCAGAGTTTAAACAGTTAATCTAGTCAAGAGGCGGGCGAAAAACAGTAGTCTACATTTCCTTAAAAGAACAGAACCTCGGACAGAATCAATACCCATACTTGCTCCGGAAATTGTAAGGATCGTATTTGGCGCTGTCGTAGCCGCTTGGCTTGATCTCAGACGGCTTAGGTGGATCGAGTGCGGATGATGCTGTCGGATCCCCGGTTTTGTCTCGGTGTCGATGTTTTCTTTCTTTCTGACCCTTCGATCGGATTTGTTCGTACTGAGGAGCTTCACCTGATCCGTAATATTCGGCGTACTCCTGTCGTTTCGAAGATCGGTGCTTGGTCGATGGAGATGGATCTTTTAACGTAGACGACCTCGTTTTCGGTGGCCTGACTTCGGAAGAGAATCTGTCGCCGTAAATCGGTCCATTTGCTTGCCGGGTTTCGGCGAGGGGAGTCGGGGCTCTCTGCTTCAAAGCTGAAGGAGGTTCGGGTTCGTCTTCAGGCATAATAAGAGAATCTTTTAGAGGAGTTAGGCCTTTCTTCGAGATCCTCCTATTAAAAGACTGGGGAATGAAATTAACGAAGATGCCGCTGACTGCTTCCAGCGCAAATTTGGCGAGGTCCCAGATCAATTGTCCGAATGACGGCCACCCAGCTATTTGCTCGTCTTCGGCTGTCACGTCGACGGGCGTTGGTATCTCGTTACTCGTCGATTGGTCGTTGAGTTTGCCTTCGGTGCCGCCTTTCTGAATATTCGAAAAATTTATTATTTATAAACCGGAAAATTAATCTAACGTAAACGACAATATATATGTTTCGGATATGCATAAAATCGCTTTAATATTACCGTCGACTTGGGGAAAAACGAGGTGCCGAATCCTTGTTGTAGTACGCACGTCGTGTATCCAATTAAGATGGCGCCAGCGACCATAAGAAGATCTGCATTTACGAGGCTTAACGAATTATTTAACGAACTCCTACTACAAGACATTGTGTCGAAAATTTAAAAGACACAAAAAGCCGCGGAAGTTTAAAGCAATCGACAAACCTGCGAGTGAGCCGGAGCTGTTGTTGTAATAGCAATCCTCCTTGCTCAAGGAAATTTGACGAAGAGCGGCATTGCCTCGATCAATAACTAACAAAGAACATGTAGACCTAACATAAATGACGTCAAAATCATTCGAGAACTTAGCGTCTTCACTAGGACCGTCATTGTATCCTGCAACGTGCGATTTTCCTCCAGCAATAGTCGTCACGCCTGTAACGACGGATTTTCAGGTTTAGGTGCCTTTTAGGGCGAAATTAACATTAGTAAGGTTCACAAATAGAAACTCGTTAGCATTGCGACAACCTGATTCCCCGATCTTTCTAATCGCGAGATTTGCTGTATCGGCAACATAAACATTCCCTTTATCATCCATCGTAACACCCTTCGGGTGATTAAATCGAGCATCACTTGGTTTTCCATCGACGTGGCCCGTGCGACCCTGGAATGATCCAGCAACCAACCTTGCCCTGCTATCTGTATTCATAAGAAAACCGAGCTGTGATTTGGGAAGCTAGAAATGACTGTTTACGACACGTGTGAACATCTTATCGAAATATATCCATGCGGATCCTCGATTACTCATTCAACGACATAATCCACTATTAGCCAAGGCAATTTCTATACCAGTAGAAAACAGAAGGGTCCGAAATTACTAACAAAAACCCAAATCTTGTACAGTCAAAGACATCTTCAATCGACAACACAAAATTCTTAGGAATTTGTCTTCGAACTCACCCTTTTAAATTTTCAGCATTTGTCCTTGTATTTATATCTAAACTTGGAAGACTTTTATATCTTCAAATTATTAATATCAAGTTCGAGTTTTGCCCGAATTTTACCTTTTGTGTTGATTTTTGGAATCTACTTTTCGAAAAAAAAAAAAAACATCTGTACCTATGTTTTCAACTTTGTACTCGGATTATTCACAATTTTTTTATTTCTCTAAAAACATCATATTCGTAAACCTATTTTTAACATATTAGATCAAAAACATCGCATATCGCCTATTTACGTCCCATCAAATATCTATATTTAATTCAAATTTTTACTATTCTCGAAATAGACTAGAATACTTCCAAAAACAAATTTACACAGCCCAAAGACTCACAGTGCGACAGTGGGGGCGTAATTCGGACAATGTTGCTGTTAACAGCATCCACAGCAAAGAGATCTCCATCCTGCGAGACACGAATCTTGTATGGCACAGTTCCAAGTTCATTCCCTTCGACAACGGTCTCGACTAAATATCCATCTTCAAACTGCAGGACATTTCCATCTGCAAGAAGCCCAAACAGACGAGACAATAAACAGATGAAAATTAAACATCTTCCACCACATTCCAATCCAAATATCTCCTGTAACTAAGAACAACCCTGCCAAATTCCTATCTTACACTCCATTCTCCCAACACAAATCACGTTCTCATAAAATGAAACATCCAACTTAAGCAAAACCAGTCAAAAACTTCGACACTGCAAACGCATTGTTACATTGCAAAATTTTAGAATTGCGTATATTAACAATGATACAAACTTGATAGACTCAAATAATAACAGTGGATAATAACCGAATTAAACTAATCTAAACAATAAACCAAATATACAAAATATCTCAACATCCCTTCAAATAGTGGTGTTGCAAACTTGAGTTTACTAAGAGACATCGAAAATGGTGTAGCCAAAATCGTTCACTGGGTCAGAATAAAAAATAGGACTCGCTCGCAATAAAATTAACAACCGAAAACAAACTCTCTCACAACGAAGTTAGAATGAAGTAGAATCAGAAATAAGACTAGTTCACAACGAAGTTAGAGTAAAAAACAAAGGTCACTTTCAACGGAGTTAAGAATCGGAAATAAAACTCTCAAAGCATTTTACAGTCTGCAAATAAAGTCTAGAGACCTCAGGTAACTTCCGGGTTGAATGTACCTGGAGGATGTGGCTATAATACTACGTTAATACGCCCTCCCCGTCCCGTAACTACGTATCAATTTACTTTTTGTATATTAGACTTTAAATATTAATATTATATTTATAGGCGGTACAAATAAAAATACATTTATTAGTGTTTTATAATACAAATGTTATTACAAATATAACAATATTTTTAATGTTATAACAACTTAAAAGTCAAATTGATACCTTGTTAAAGATTAAAGAACAGAGAGAGTATTACTCCCGGATACCGTATTTTAGGAGGAATGTAATTAGTAGATAATTAAGAATGTACTAATGAAAATAATTATCTTATAATATAAATAATTATAAATTGATTAAAATAACTAATTAATTTAATTAAAATTAAAAAAAATAAAATTTAAAAATTTAAAATGAGATTAAAGTGTGTAATGATTTTCCAAAAAAGAAACTGACATGGTACGTGGGACGGACAAAAACTGCAACGTGGACCTGGTATCTGGGACGGAGGGAGGGAGTATTATTAATGGAAACAGAGGTATGGTTGTCATATATTCAAATAATAACAATCTAATTTAATTGATATAATCAAACAAATCTAATATAAACCATAAAACAAATATCTAAAATATATCACAACACTTTGAAAAATTAACAAAGATAGTATACTACCTGACTGATGGGGTATTCTGGAGGAAGACTTGGTCCATTTTACCAGGGACGACAGGTGCTTTACCAACGGCCCTGAAAAATAATAATAATAATCTTCTCAATAACTAACTTAAAAATGGCTGTATCAAGCTATCATTCAGAAATGCACACAAGAACAAGCACATCGATTCAATAAAATCCCCAATTGCATAAAACCCTAACCATAAAATTAGGGTTTTATGTTTTTTTTATTTTTTTCACGGTTAGAGCAAACGTTTTATTTATTCATTTATTTTTACAGGAATCGAACGAGAGGAATACATTACCCGCTGGAGCAGCTTCAGCTCGAAACTCAACGATGGAGGCGATTGAGGAGGATAGCAAAATGAGAAACAATAGGACCGACCTCATTCTTGCCTTTTTCAAGCTTTCCCCAAAATTGAAGCTCCAAAAAATACCTTTTGGTGTATTCTCAACGCAGATCAGAAAAAAAAGGGCACAAATCAACATTTCCGAAGGTAATTCACTCCAGATTTCTTCATGTAAACGAGAATTGAAGCAATGTGGCGTAGATTGCAAGCACGGTGAATTGCAGTTCTCGCCTAAAACCGACGGGATTTACAATTCACACCACCGCCATTGCTGCTCCGTCGCTTTTGGCTCTTCATCGGCTCGTCATGATTGCGTTCTTTTGGGAGAAATTTGGAAACGAAAAGGCGCAACTTTCGAGGAATTTGGGAAAGTCGAATTCAGTACTGACAGCAGTGATGCTTTTACACTTGAGAAAGGCGAAATGAACTGTGAACTGGTCTGAACTACGCGCTGCGGTGATATCCCGCCCGACCCGATTACTCGTTCTGGATAATCCAGATCCGATTCAACGTTCACGCAAGCACTAGCACTAATTGTATCGGGAATTTTGGATAAGTTTTCATTTCGGGTGTGTTTGTTTGGAGGTTTGGATTTTGGATTGGGATTTGAATAGTAAAAATTTTGAATTTGAATAGTTGTATGATGTGATATAAATAGGGTTTGATGTGATGTTTTGAATGTAAAATTTTTAGTATAATATAAAAAATGAAAAATAGGTGTTTGATTTGATGTTTTTGAAGGGAAAAAATTGGATAAATAGTGGAAATCCTCCAAAATCCTTCAAACAAACACACCCGCATATCATTTCTGTGTGATTGCAAAAGGTAATAAAAATTCATAAATGGACACTACTACTAAATTATTAAAAGTAAATTATGCTATTATTATTTTATTATTTTTTATATAAATAAAGTTGCTGATATTTAAAATAATTTTAGTAATGTCTTACTCCTCCGTCCAGTTAAAAAGTAAAAATATTTTTATCTTGTCCAATTACAAAGTAAACATTTTATTAAATACCTCAATTTTTTTCATAAATACCTTTACTTTAAATCATATTATTACTTTTATACCAAAAAACAAGGACATAAATATCATTATATTATTTTTAACTACCTATTATAATTAAAATATTATTATTTTTTAAACACCACGCTAAAAGTAAGTATATACTTTATGTGTAGACGGATGAAATATATATCAATAAAATATATTATTTCATAAATAATAAAATTTTATAGTATAATATAATAAATAAATATATTTATTTATTTATAATCACCTTAACATTAATTTTATAAAAGAACAAACATTTTTAATTATAAATAAAAATATTTATTTATTGATGAGAGATATAAAAATAATAGGTTTTGAGGGGTATTAAAAATTTAATTAAATTTATTTACATTTGTTAAGATGAATAAATTTATAAAAATAGAAAGATATCATCTTTGAGACGGCCAGAAAAAAAATATCATCTATGAAAGACCGAGGGATTAATAATTATAATAATATTATTTTATTTTATCCATTATATATTTGTATTAAATATTTTATGTAAAAAATACACATTAATTAAAAATAAATTAAAATATTTTATTAATAATAAAATAAGCACAAAATACTAGTACATAATAAAAAAACGTACTAGATTGTTCTATTAAAAACCCTAAACTGCAATAAATATATTAAATTTCTTAATTTTTTTTTTAAAAAAACTTCTAATTATTTTTTAATAATTCTTTCAACAATTTTTCCTTAAATGCTTCTTCATTTGGAGTCGGTTGATAATTTGCAAGTAAATTGTTTAAATTATATATTTTTTCAGTTGATTCTTTTTTATTGCTTCAATTGTTATTTCATTTTTTGTTCTTGAAGGTAGATGATTTGTTCTTATTATTTTGTTTCTGTTTGATTCTTTCTTCTTTTAAATCTACAAGACCTCCTAAATATGATATAACTTGTGTATATGTAGCTTCCATATCTGCAAAATATTTATCGTAATTGTTAGAATCTTGATACTTTTCTATACTATTTTTCCCTTCTTTTTACTCGCTTGTGATTCTTCATAAGAAGCTTTGAAACTCCCTCGCCATTTTGGTTCCTTTTTTAACTGACGTCATGCATGTTCAAATACAAATGACTTTCGACCATCATCGTAATAAATATTGTGTGTGGTATTTAACACATTATTTTGAGATTGTCCACTAATTTTTTGTCGGTTAGCTTTCTCATAGCAATTAACAAATTTTGATATTGCTTGATTAATTTCATGCCAACGAGACTTACATTGAGATATGGCTCTTGAAACCCATTGATTTTTTTTATTTTCGTATAATAGTCCACTACGCATTTTCAGAAAGTAGAAGTGTTTTTTTATCGGTACTTATAATGGTATCTTTGTTTGTGTTGAGCCATCCATTGATGAGGAGAATATCCTCTTTTGGGCTCTACGTTTTTCTTGTATCTTCGATAGAACTGATAACTTACACATCTTCATCATCTTATTTATCAAAATTGTGAATAGGAACTTGTGTGCTAAATTACGGGATGTTCACACCCTCACTTCTTTGGTTTGAACCACTTCTTTAAGTAGCCGGACGTTTGGAGATTGGTTCATAGGATACGGTGTACCATCAATTGGTCAGAAGTTTGAAGGATGAGAAAAGTTTAGACCAAATGAAAAATAATGGTTGTGGATAATAAAAATTGGTGTAATTCGGTAATTTAGGTGATTGTTTGAATATTGAGAGTTTTGTGATCTTTTTGTTCCCCAATATTTTCATAAAATTTTAAAAGAAAAAGAAGTTTGAGTTTTTGATGAATTGAGATGCATAATTAGATAAAAAATAACTAGAGGAATATTACATATACTAACATATGCACACCAATAGTATATTTATATAGATTTTTTTGCTCACATGCATTTGTGTCGTCATTTCATTGTACTAAAAGGTATTAAAAGCATGTTTATTTTGTGGGATAATTTGAAATTATTTTTTTTATTTTTTTATTATTATTATTTTTTTTATGTTGAGGTATGAGAAATTATGTAGAAATATAGAAATAATGAATTTGTGTGATATATTAATATTTTTGAAAAAATATGTGTTTTATTGTTAAAAGAACACACTTCATTGTACTAAAATAAAATGATTCTTTAGATTTTGTATTGTCATTTCTTATAATTAATACACAGTGTATATCATATTACTTCATTATACAAAAAAGAATTAATCATTGAGCATGGTATTGTCATTTCTCGAATTAATATAACTAACATACAATGCATGTTATATCTCCTTCATTGTATTTAAAAGAATTAATATTATGTTTAAATTTCAGTATTTACTTGTTATGTTAATTTTATTAGAGACTGAAATTATGGTTATTTTCAAATACCTTTTTTTTTTTTTTTTCAATAGCTTCATGTAATTTTTCATAAATTAATTTAAAATAAATTATCTATAAAATCATACATAAATAAATCTATATTAAACACTAATAATATGAATGTAATATTAAAATTTTATTTATTAAATTATTTTAATTTAAGTATTAAATAACTATTATTAAAATTATTTTATTAAGTAGAAAATATTATAATGTGTATATAATATATTATTTTAAAAAGTATTATAAAATATTATAAAGTTTGTAGTAAATAAAATAATAAATTTATTATATAGAATAAAAAAAAATCTGAGGAACGCGAAACTCGGTTCTACAATGTGAGTAAAAAATTGAATGAATTTTTCATGAGTTCTTGAGCTGACTTGATATAACGTGAAAGAGAAAGAAGACTCGGGAACAAAAAATTATATTTTGCATTTTTTATGGTCTTATAGTAAAATGTCAGCCGATGGTTTAAAGAAAATAAAATGAAGTTCAATAGGTGTAATCAATTTTCTAAGAAAGACGAGTCAAATACTGTACAAATTGATTGTGCGGGACAGTCTTGTGAATACGGTGGATACTTAGATTTTTATAGTAAAAAAAAAAGAAGAAAGTATGTTATCTTTATATTCAATTATTTTTCAATTTTTTTATTATTATTACTCTCTCCGTGTCCCGGATACGTATATGTTACACTGTAGACACGGTATTTTAAGAGGGGTGTAATTAGTAGATAATTAAGAGCGTATTAATAAAAATAATTATTCTATAATATAAATAATTATAAATTAAAATTAAGATAACTAATTAGTTTAATTAAAATTAAAAAAAAAAATAAATTAAAAAATTTAAAATGAGATTAAAGTGTTTAATCATTTTCCAAAAAAAAGGAAAGTGATATGGAATATGGGACGAACATAAACGACAACGTAGACATGGTATGTGGGACGGAGGGAGTATTAAAGTGTGTAATCATTTTCCAAAAAAGGAAAGTGACATGAAATATGGGACGAACAGAAACGACAACGTGGACATGATACGTGGGACGGAGGGAGTATTAAAGTGTGTAATCATTTTTCAAGAAAAAAGAAAGTGACATGAAATGTAGGACGGACAGAAACGACAACGTAGAAATAGTACGTGGGACGGAGGGAGTATTATTTTGTTAAAGATGACTCAAAGCTTTCATAGTTATTTAAAGCTCGTATGGAAATAAAAAAAAAAAAATACAGTTTTCTAAAGAAAAAAAATTAATACAAGAATATGTTTACTTTCAACAATATAAGAGGTTCTGCTACTGTTTAGTTGTAGTTTGATCATTAATCTTTTTGTAAATATATATTCAAAGAAGAATATAAAAAATTCGAAACATTTTTTTCTCAAGAAAAAAAAAAAAAAAAAAAAAACTAAAGTCGCGACTAATCTTATGATCCGCAGCTTGCAAGATATGTTGGCGATCCGATCCTTTCCACGCGTTATTCTACATCGTGTTTATGCTATCGGTGTGCGCTTTATTCTCGAAAACTTGGATCGAGGTCTCGGGATCCTCCGCCAAGGATGTCGCAAAGCAGCTCAAGGTATGTTCTTGGCTCGCGCTAATTCAAATCGAATCTCTATTCTGTAAAAAACTGTTCTAAAACGCTGAGCTTTCCAGGAACAGCAAATGGTGATGCCGGGGTCGAACCTGTACAACCAGCTGAACCGCTACATCCCAACGGCTGCGGCATTTGGCGGGATGTGCATTGGCGCGCTCACCGTTTTGGCGGATCTCATGGGCGCGATCGGCTCCGGGACAGGAATTTTGCTCGCCGTGACGATTATTTACCAGTATTTTGAGACATTCGAGAAGGAGAAGGCGAGTGAGCTTGGCATCTTCGGGTTCTAAGGCTGCGCCGCCGGTCGATTTCTGGCCGGCCGGAGCTGCCGGAAAGTTTCGACGGTTGTGGGAGCGGGAAGAAATCTGTCGGATATTCCCACAGAAGGGGAAATATTATAGGTTTAAGTTAGTTTAGTTTGTTAGCTTGGCTTGCCTAGAATCCAAAATATTTTCCTGATAATTTAGCAAATTTTGAACTACAGAAAGAACAAGGCTAGTTTAATCTTGAAAATGAAAATAATAAAAATAATAATTATTATTATAAGTTAAAAATCAAATAAAATAGAGAATCTTAGAATTTGTTCTAATGCATTTTTAATCTAATAAGATTACAAGCACATGGCTTGTTATTTTATTCCTTTATAATTTTATTATCATAATTTTAATAAATAATAGTAATTTTTTATTATTATCTTTTTAGTATTTTATATAAAACCTTTTTTTTTCCTCTCACCAAAACTTTTCGTTTTCTTTTTTGTGAATGTAACTTAAATTAAATACCAAAATAAGAGACGATTATTATTATTATTTTTTATCTAATTAAAATTACATAATTTTTAGAAGACATATATGTTTTTTTAAAGGATAAATTATATTATGTTTCAATAAAAATACACAGAACACTTATGTTTTATTTATTGTATGAAATTTTTTAAAATAATTTTTTAATAAAAAAATAATTGATCAATTATTTATTTTATAATTTTTATAAATTTCAGATGACAAATTATCTTCAAAATTTATAAAATTAAGAATTAATTAATTATTTACTTATTTTATTCCTTTAAGATATTTTAACTATTTTATTTATATAAAATATAATAAAACAAAAGGATTTTATGTAATAACTAAAACACTAGTGTTTTTCTATATAGGGATATTATATAATTTACTATTTTTAAATCCTCGGTTCTGCGGTAAGTTTGACGGGTGTTTTCAGGTAAGATCGGGTAGGGCCGGTCCAATAAGTATCGGGTCGGGTATAAGAAAATACCATCCCTAGATAGCTCTTGCTGTTTGCATTAAAAAAAGTAGAGGATATATTCTGATCAATAATTATCATCCATTCTTTAGTTAATTCTCTTTCTCAGAGCTTCCAGCGAATTCCTCTCTGAGGCCGACTATAAATATAAGCGCTCACGGAATCTGCTCCATAATACTGAATTTGGTGTAATTAATTCGATCCTCAATTGGCATGGAGAAATCCGTGATTGTAGTTGGTGTTGACGACAGCGAGATCAGCTACCACGCTTTGGAATGGACTTTGGAGCATCTGTTTCCTCCTGCGATTCAGAACACTCCTTTCAACCTCGTCGTCGTGCACGCCAAACCTCAAGCGGTTATGGCAGTCACCCTCGCTGGCCCTGGTATGTTTGTAGTTGACCAATTTTTCGTCGTCTAGGTTTTTTTTTTTGTTTTATTGGGGTGCGCGCAACGTCGATTGATTGTTTGAGTGCTAAGCAAGTTAAAATTCGATTTCCAGAACCGATTGATGATTTTGATAATTCGATCATTTTTCGCGGATTTCAATTTTGCATTGACTGATTGCTAACAGTTGCAAGTTAAAATTCGAATCCAGAACCGATTGTGATTTTGATAATTCTCGATCATTTTTCGCGGATTTCAATTTTGCGTTTACTGATTGGTAACAGTTGCAAGTTAAAATTCGAATCCTCAGACCGATTGATGATTTGATCTGTTTTTTGCGCATTACAAATTTGCAGAGCATTGTTGTTTCAATTTTGGATTGATCGATTGGTAACCGTTGTTTGTGGTTGCGTATATTGCAGGTGCTGCTGACGTGATACCTTACGTGGATAGAGATTTGAAAGCAATAGCAGGCAGAGTAGTGGAAAAGGCTAAACAAATGTGCTCAGCTCATTCGGTAACTTGCGCAATCATCATTTATATTTCTCCCTTCGACATACAGATGTGTATATTAAGAAGGGATCCGAGCATCCAATCTAAAATCAATTGGTGATAGGTGGAGTGGTCATTCGCCTTTATATATTAGAGGAGATCCCACACATTTAGCAATGTGGATAATATTCAACACTTCCCCTCGAAAATCCATACAGGATCCAAACCCAATACGGACACCATGTCTCTGATACCATATTAAGAAGGGATCCGGGCATCCAACATGGTATCAAAGCCTAGGCTAGGTCTCGAGTTCGAGTCCCACCCGTCCCTATTTGTGGCATATGCATGTGCAAGTTTCGCAGACCCACTTGCACCGAGGGGGCGTGTTGGGGACTCCCGTTTGCGGGATATATAACTAATGACTTAGTTTCCCTAAAAAAGTTCGAGCTTTTAGGTGAGACGGTCATTAGCATCCCACAGTGTACACATTTGACTGGACACGAGTTTTAATAAAAGTGAGTAATAATTATTAATTTTTTTTATAATAAAAAAGAGTACAAAAATTGAATAACTTTTTATTTAAAAAAAATAATAATATTTTTCGATGACAACGTAAAAAGAAAAGTGAGTATAGATTTGAACGACTAGGGGACTAGAACCATTTGCTTCTGAAAATTAATTTGTGCTAATTATCAGAGATATTTATGGGTGTTTTTGTTTGGGGTTTGTTTTTTAATTGAGATTTGAATAGTAAAATTTTAAATTGAAACTATGATTCATGTTCTATGTTCTGAATGTAAAAGTGATAAAAAAAATATATAGAGAATAGATTAGTAGTTGGAATTTGGAGGAGTCAGTTTGCATGGCTCCTTCATATTCATGGGCTTAATTCTCTTCTAGCAAAAATAAATAAATAAATAAAATAAAATAAAATAAAATCTCCTCTAGCTGTATATGGACAACTGGTGTAGAGGTTTCATGTAGGGCAAATTATACCAATTAAAATTCAACTAATTAAGATAACATGATCTGGTGTTCGTGTCTCACACCCTCGTTAATGGAATATATATTTAAATATTTTAAAAATTATATTGTAATAAACAATACATGCAAGATGGATATTAGATTGCAAAGATTAAATTTTTTATAATAAAAGTAAATAAAAATATACATATATTTATTTGTAATTAAAAATAAATTAATTTTATAAAAGACACGAGTTTTAAATGTAAATTAAAATACTTATTCTTTTTTTTTAAAAAAAAATAAATAGAAATAAAGTGGTTTTGAGTGAGTTTTAACAATGTAACGTATTATAAGTTATGTATGTATAGTTAATTAAATTGATTTATATTTGTTAAATATATTTTGATTTAGTAAATTTTTACTCAAAATAAAAATATGTCAATTGTTACGGGATATACAAAAATGAAAAATATATTGATTATTCTGGGATGGAGGGAATATATAATAATTAATGATGTATTTTTCTATTAATTTAAATTTTTAAGTGAAATTATCATTTAATAATTAATAATTAAACACAATTTAGATAATGATGCAAGACTTTATATATATATATATATTGATAGAAGACTATATAATATGTAATTAATGATCTAGTGTTTTGTATGTGATACAATAAAAAGGTAAATGATGCAATTTTAGAAGTTGAGGAAGGCGATGCCCGAAACATTCTGTGTGAGGCTGTGGAGAAGCACCGTGCATCTATGTTGGTTGTGGGCAGCCATGGCTATGGAGCTATAAAGAGGTTTTATTATATATATATATATATATTATTATAAATAGATTGTTAGTTAATTGATTAAATATATATATATATATCTGTAAACAAATTAAATGATTTTTAATTGTTTAATAAAGTTGATGAAGATGCATTATAAATTATTGCAGGGCTGTTTTAGGCAGTGTTAGCGATTACTGCGCCCACCACGCACACTGCACGGTCACCATTGTTAAGAAGCCCTCTAAAACCAAGCACTGAGGATCACCTCACTCACCATCTACTGCTACCTACTCTCCTATCCTAAGGTAAGTCAATAATGGAGTATTATTTAATTATAACCACAATAATATGTCGTCTGTCTTGTCTTATATACGGGCTATGGCATGCATGTTTTAACATCATCGTATTTGTTTGCCCAATATCCTAAATTCCCACTTCTCTCTCTCTCTCTCTCTCTCTCTCTCTCTCTCTCTCTCTATATATATATATATATATATATATTCTGCTTAATTGTCTGACTAATTGTAATATTGTCGTGAGATAATTTTACTTGCATACATATATATTACCCTTGGGTTCAAGCCGGAACTAGGGTTCTAAATAAAGGGGGCTAAGAATTTTTTTTACTTATTTTATTTTTTATAAATAATACACTATTTATAGTCATACATATAAAAGGACATGTCGTCTATTTGCTGTCGTATTCTTCGAGTTGTCATATTTTGAAAATATTGCAAAATAGTTTCTGTATCAATCTTTTCAAATAATTATTTTTCCATATAACATAGCAATAAATCTGCCAAAAATTTATCTCTCGTCTTGTTGCGCAAATCACTTGATAATCTTCATCGCAGAATAAGAGGTAGAACTAACGACAACTCCATAAGTAGATACACTAACTTCAAAGTAGTATGTCATTTTCTTTTGACCATTCTTTCATCATCAAAATCATGTGAATATAACTTAGTAAGATGGAGTAGTTTTTCAACATCAAAACTAGCAAATGAATATCTAGGATTAAGAAATGCAATGCCTAAAATAAACTTGTCTCCTTAACGATTATCTATTTCTTATGTGATATGATCAACAACCTAATATAATAATTAAAAAAAATAATGATTTGTAAAGGAAATGAAATAAAATAATTGATAATTATAAAATAAAATAAAATATACATGTACATGAAGAAAAATATTGCGATAAAAATACGTTTTTGGTTGAGTATCAATTTGCCTTCGAAATCTAACTTGGATAGGCATAGGATCTTCCATATTCGGCAAAAAAATATCATTACTAAAACAAAAGTCCAAGACAATTTTCAAAAATTTCTCCCAACTATCATCCTTAAAAAATTCCTTCAATTCATCATTTAATACTATAATCAAAGATACAATATTATCAATATTCTGAGATTTTCGTTGCAAGACAACCGAGAATGCACTTGTTTTCGCCAATAATGTGAACATCAAATTAGCAATGAAAATAAATTCAAAATTCAATATTTTTTCAATTAAACCTGCATAGCACCCCGACTTCTTTGATCAATGTCATCTTCAACAATAATTTCAAGAACATTTGTAACCACATCCCATATGTCTAAAATTCGATTGATTGTCCTATAATGTGAGCCCCAATGAGTATCACCTGGCCGAGTTAAACCCATTACCTGATTTTTGCCTCTTTTCGTATCCACTTTACCATTTTCTATGCATTGTGCAAGATCATCATGATATTTTTTTCAAAGAACATCCCTTCTTTTACACGAAACTCCAACAAGATTCACAATCATAGTTAAATGACAAAAAAAGTTACTCTATGATCCTTTGAAGCTGACACAATTACTAACTGAAGTCGGTAAGCAAAACAATGAATATAATGTGCTTTGCGGTTTTCATTTAAAATAAGTGTCTTCAAACCATTGAACTCGCCACACATATTGGAAGCTTCGTCGTAATCTTGACCTCTAAGCTTTAAAAATGATATATCATATTTTGCAAAGAAATCGTCAATGGATTTCTTTAAAGCCTTTGAAGAAGTATCTTTAACATGCACAATTTCAACAAACTGTTTAATCACTTCTCCCTTTTTTGTTTACAAATTTCAAAATTATGGACATTTGTTCTTTTATTGAGTTATCTCGAGCTTCATCAATCAAAAAAGAAAAAACACTTGTCTTCAATCTCATCAAAAATAACTTTTCTCACCTGTGTTGCACAAGATTTAATAATTTTCTTTTGGATCTTAGGAGATGCCAATTGACTATTTTCCGAAGCATTTAAGTTCATCATTTTTTTTTTCACTTTTTCACTTCGATCACAATATCATTTCAATAATTCAAGAAAAATTACCTCGCTGCATTGATTTATTTGACTCATCGTGTCCACGATGGGCCAAACCTTGTTGTAGAAGAAATGAACTACATCCACAACGGCTGTTAATCAAATCGGGTAATCAACTTTCACCTTATTGCTTCTTTGTTCCAACATATCAACCTTAGTCGTTGATGTTGAAATGAGGAACATTGAATTTAACATAACGATGTGCACTTGTTGAAGGTCCTTCATGTTTTTAAAAATTTTCTAGGGCTTTTTTCCAAATTTCTAAAACCAACTTCAATAAAAGTAATATCTCCACCGTACTTGTAACCTCTATTAAACAAGAGCATACAAAATAAAACGCAACATCTTTTTATACACTATATTCAAGTCACTCATATTGATTGAACCTCGTTGATTGAAACTTCTCATAATCTTACCAAATGAAGTCCTCGGAAAATCATTATCATATGGTTGACATGGCCTTTCTCCATATACCGTCTTTTTAATTCATGTTTAACATCAATACGATAACTATCAATTAGTTTAAGTAACCCTGGATTACCAACACATCATTCTTGATAATTCTATTTCTACTATGCGTTTTTTAGCACATTCTTTATCATCGGTAATAATCTAATTACCAATCACACTGTTTGGTGTGGGGAAAGATGTACTCGAAGCAGAAGAAACTAACTTCTTTGATTTAATAATAAATTTATCTATAAATAATAAATATACACCTAACAAAAAGTTAAACAAATAAATCAATATAAATTTTATAACATTAAATTATGAAATAACACTAGTATATATACCAATAACGATGAAACTAACACATAACATAAATAAAGCTATATTCTCGAAAAGAAAAAAATTACCCAAGAATCCAAAATTCACGCTCAAATCCAAAAATATCAAACCCAGAAAATCAGAATCTGATCCACCGACGTTCTGAAGCTCCGGATTCCGATGGAGCGCAGACAGAGAAATTTGACAACAACAAAATCTTCTTCAGCGACTAAACAACAAATTCAGAACGACTCTTATCGTCTTCTTCCTCAAGGCTAACAGGGAAATCGACCAAATTAAAAGACAGAAGCTGGAGGAGATTTTTCCAAAATCTGAGAAAAAAGAGAGAAAGTGAATGAATGTACATGCAGCGGCGTAGATTAGGTTAAATTTCTTTGGTTTTTTATAAATTAAATTATTATATATAATTAATAAAATATAATATAATATACATTTTAAAAGTGAAAAAATGGTTCATGTCTGCAGCAGCAGCAGCGTGTCAAGCATCATATGTTTGCTTTGGTAATTGAAGACTGACATTAATTGTGTATTTGTTTTGATTATTAATTGAAAATTTATTTATGTAAAATAACAGTTTTTATAACAATTAGTATATATTAGTAATAAAAAATTTGTTAAATTTTTTGATTATGGGTTGAGTGGTTTCGCCTGTACTGTGCTTGGGTTGATGCATAAACAAATAAAAGAATAATTTTAGGGACATGTAAGATGGAATTGTAAAGGGTGTGTTTGTATTTTGTAGAATGTTTTGGCCCAACTTTTAGTGTGTGTTCTTTTGATGGCTTGAATTTTGTGTTTTAACATTTGAATAGTAAAAAATTTAAATTGGAATAAATAGATATTGATGTGATATATGCTTTTGATTTGATATTTTTGAAAAAAAATTAATTAATAATAAAAGACTAAGTTTTGATAAACTTGATAAAAGAAAATTTGTATTTGATGTGCTATTTTGTATGGAAAAACAATATTTTTGATTTGATGTTTTTACAAAAATTATGGTAGATAAATTGTGCCAATAGTTCTAAAAGTCAATGTGTGTATATAGAGCCCAATTTGGAATATATCATAGGAATATATATATATATATATATATTGAGTTTGATTTGAATATAATATTTTTGTAAGATAAAATAATACTCTCTCCGTCCATTACTAAATTTTTCATTTTTCATTTTAGTTTGTCCAAATCAAACTTTCACATTTCTTTGTTTAGAAAAATATCTCTCAATCAAATACCAAAATAATATTATTTTTTTATCTTTCACATTACTTTTCAAAGGTAAAATAGATATTACATTACTTTATTATACTACATATCTATAAAATGCTTATTTTCCTTATTCAGTATGAAAAATCAAACGGAAAGTCTACCACCGGACGAAGGGAGTATGTTTTTATATGAAATAGTAAAAAAACTTGAAGTCAAATTAAAGAAGAATACGAGTTGCGGATCCGGTGCTGACCCGATCCAATCAGCATAGTGCTGATTTGATTGGGTCATCATATAATCAACATATTATATACTATCATAGCATATTTATAATACTTCATATGCAATATTATAACTCAATATATGATATCTTATAACGCAATATATCTACGCGATCAACACTTGATTCGTGCCCAAGAATATACCCTGCATTGTGATTTCTTTGAATATTATGTTTGTGTTTTTGGTTTAACTAATGGTTTGATATTCCTCCTGTAGAAATAAGTGTAAATAATAAATTTCTATAGGGAGAACTAACAAATAAATAATGTATAAAATTATAAAAAGATATAAAAAGAATAAATCTATAAAATTGAAATACTATGATTTACATAGAAATGACTATGGAATATATTATATATATCTATATTGAAAAAATACGCTCAAAATTCTTTCATAAGGCTTTATTGCAATATCAGAGAACTCACAAAATTATTCAAATGTAAGAAAAAATATTTTTCTACTCCTTCTATTCCAGTATAGTTGATATTTTTCATTAGAGACACTCTATTTAAAGAAATAATGCTTAATTAGTTAATAATAGCGAACTATGCTATTATTTATTATTTTTTTTAATAAATAATATTGATAGTTTTAAAATAAATTTAATATATATGATTAAAAATTAAAATATGTATTTAAATATTTTAAAAATTATATCGTAATAAAAAATATATGCAATATATATATCATTTTGTAGAGAATAAAATTTTTTATAATACTAGTAAACAAAAAATACTTTTATTTATTTATAATTAACATAAATTAATTTTATAAAAGATGTGGGTTTTAAATGTAGATAAAATATTTTGTTTTTTGAGGAGAGTTATAGAATAATGAATTTTGAATGAGTCCTACATGATAATGTTATAAGTTATGTATTAATTAAGTTAATTTATATTTGTTAAATATATTTTGATTTAGTATCCTTTACCCAAAATAGAAAAGTATCAATTGTTATGAAATAAACTAAAATAAAAATAGTGTCAGTTGTGGTGGGACAGAGAGATTAACGTATTTCCCTTAACAAACAGAAAATGCTTATTAATATTTTTTTTCCTACTTTAATAATTGTATATATCATTAAGATTTGCGGAATTTTGTGAAAATAGGTTTTAAAATGATATATTTGTTGATTCATAAAACATAGGGAAATGGAAACAAAATCACATTGTGAAATAGATAAGTACCTAAACTCCGCTTGAGAGTTGGTAGTCATACATCGGCACATGTGTTTTTCTCTCAGTGTCTTATTTGAAATGTTTGATTTTGCAGATGATATGTTGAAAGATATGTCACAATCCTTTTTGGATATACCTGTAACCTCGGGATTTTTAAGTCTCAATTCTTACGGACTATCCAATCCTTCAAAATTCCCTTAAATATTTCCGAGAAGAAAAATTCATACCTATGGCAAGATCACTGGTCTCCATATCCATATATACGTCCCACTCACTATACTTAGGAAACATATCTTCTTCTATACTCCATGCTTGACTTCTTGTGATGTTGTTTAACTTCTCGATTGCTTTTTCTCTGTTCTCTTTTTCTTACTTTACTTATCATGTGGTTCTTATAGCTACTATGTGAAAATGTTATCATCATTTAGATCATCAAATTAATTGTACATCAAAGAGGGATCATCTCACTCTTCGTATCTTTCTCAAAGTCGCTGTCATCACAATTATAAAATTATGAGCATTCATCATCAATATTTTCTGGCCGAACGGTCTAACTGGACATTGTTTTTATTCTCTCACCAATCTCAGCTTTCCGAACACTGCCCCATCCATGTTCCATTGCATCATTCACCTTCTCCACCTATTTGCACTTCTTCGGGCCCATTGTTATCGCCCATCATAGTTTCATCATCACCATCACCATCACTATCTCTATCAACTAATTCAATTTCTATCTATGTTTCAATCCCAAAAGCCAAACAACCAATCGGGTGTTTCTCCCTTTCACATCGAGACATTCTAAAAAAAGGAATAATAACAAAATTGAGATAAGAATAATATACTATACTACAAATATTATTTAATAATTTCAAGAAATGTACATTGGAACTGATGAATATGAGTCTTTTTTCAGAAAGCCAAAGTCACAACCTTACTATTGGGGCCGTAATAGGTAGAGTAGCTGCAATTTTTTTGTTGAGTTTTGTACCTATGGTCCTTTATCTAAGATGTAAATATGCGACAGGAGTATAATAAAGCTGATGACGAGGACCTGTCCCATGGCGAGGACTGGTCCCGTCACACTACATTATTCACCCTAAGGCAAATAAGAGCAGCTACAAACAATTGCTCGAGGTTTGTTCTTCCTCATGAAGAAGCAACGATCAAATTTATCCATCGTGACATCAAAGCTACGAATGTGCTTCTTGATAAAAATCTTGTCCCAAAAATATCTGATTTTTGTATTGCCCGGCTCAGATGAAGAAGATTGCTCGCATATAAGCACTCGCATTGCTGGGACTTAGTAAGCAATCAATCATCGACATTCTTTGATATTTGTGTGTGTGTGTGCACATGTATAATTATTGTCTCATTTTTTACATTTATATTCATGTGGATACATGTCGCCTGAATACACTATGCGAGGTTATCTGACAAACAAGGCAGATGTTTATGCATGTCAAATGTTGTCGACATACTTGAGGGAAGAACTAGTGTTCATGAATTCGACTTTGGTGACGACATGACCGTGAACCAGACTGTGAATGAGATCTCCGTAGAGCCCTCACCCTCTTATGCGCTTTTACAATAGAAAACTTGGGTTCAATTCGATGCTAAAATTGCTCAAGAAACTATCATTGAAACAATAAATTTGTATACATATCAAGTTGAGATATCTCTAATTTGTAACGAAAAATTCTTGCAACTTTTATTTGATATAGTTACTATTACAAACATGTTTCTTATTTATTTTATTTTATTTTATGACTGCGGATCTGGCGCTGATACAATCAAATCAATATGATGTTGATTCGATCGGGTCAGCATATCATATAAAGGTAATCATCACATATTATATACTATCAGAGCATTTTTATGATACATCACATACTAGATTATAATTCAACATCTGATATTTTATAACACAAAATTTATATTGTACGTCTTTATAGTATATGCTGATCGGGTCAAATCAGCAATAATTTTCCGATTAAACATGAAACATGTTTCCAATCTTACATTTTCAATTTTCCAATCCTAATAAAGAACAAAAAGTAAATAAATAAAATAAGGTGTGGATCAGGTGTTAATTGGGTCAAATCGGTAAAAATTATTAAGAGTATTAATTAAAAATTTAGGTAAGATAAGATGGATTAGGATATAATTGGATTGGGGTATAATGCAATTCTTGCACGAGGCTATTGGGACGAGTTGCTCTAAATTCAAATTCGACATCACTGTCACCATAGGTGCCAAAAAATGATTTAGTTTAAAATACATTATACTCGAGTCAACCTACCGGATCTAAATTATTTAATGACATCCATACTGGTTATAAGTTTAGATATGATGTAATATGTATTTAATTAAAGGTAAATTTACAATGCGTCTTGAATGTTTAAAAAACATAGGGTTTGTTCTACTAATTTTTTTTTTTTTTTTTCGATTCTCAATATATAGATATAATATATTTTTATCATCTAAAAAAATTAAATTTAATATAAAATATTATTTATATATATTGAAAATCGGGGCAGCGATCAAATAAGAGGTCCAATGCCTTCGAGTTATTTACACAACATAGTTGTAACACGTATCGACGTAAATACAACTTTTACGACGAGGTTGTCTAGCGGTTGAAACAACAATGCATGTATGTGCATAAATCAATGGATGAGGAAGTGCAAATAAAGAAAAAAATACACACGATTTGTTTATCCAGGTCGGTATTCAAATCTACGTTTGGAAGATTCCAATGAAGGAATGTTAACTAAACCAAACACTTGGTTTACATCATCCAAGATACCAAACAAATCAATAGACTTATCTTCTAACCAAGTTCCATGTTGTTTTACAAGCTTAAATGGGCTGGTTGTTACAATGCGGTAAGACTCCAACAGACTAGCAGTTAAAGCTAAAACTAAGGTGGCATAACAGTTTATTAGCTCATGATTTGGTTTTGACTTTATGAAATTTTCTTCTGGTCGACTTCAAACCTCCATAAAACACACCTCTCAACTCACTGTGATGAGGAGAAAATATTTCACATTTGAAGTGAGAGAAACCGATGTTTCATCCACTATAATCCAATTCAATACACTCTACACAAATTTCTCACATGATGCTTTGTGTACATTTTTGTGCAGTGTAAACGAGGCATTAATTGTCATGCAGGACGAGCGTGACACACTATTGATTTCTCCTGCATGTTTCCTATACGAGACAAGTTGATTTGTCTCATTTTAACATGTATAAGACACGTTTTGATACAATTAAAGTTGGCTTTTTGGTCAAATATCTGTTTGATTTTCCAAAATGGCGTTAGGTGCAAAACGGATTTGTTTTTTTGCATAATACAACATTTTATTACATATATAATTTATTATATCTCACATAAACAAATATACGTCAAACCAAAATACTAAACAAACAAACAGTATATTTTAATAAATTAAGTATATTGAATATGAGTGTCCTTTTATAAATAATCATTTTTTTTTTAATACAAATCAATAAAAACATATGTCTATATATATATATATATTTATCTATAATTAATATGAAAGAGATTGTAATATAAATTTTTTTAAATAAGTTGGTTTAATTTTAAAAATTTTTGAGGAAACAATTGAGATGAAAAAATCTTCCAGTCTAGTGCCGATTTATGCCTCAACTACTCATCGGTGAAACTTTGGCTTTATTAAAAGCTTGCAATGCATGTTTTCCACCAAAACGCTCCAATATTTTCTTGGCAAAACAATCGAAATGGTTGATGTTTTAGCTAAAGAGAGGTGTGGTTTAGCATTCAAGAATGAATATTTTCCTTTACTCTTCATTTCGTTGACACCCGAAAAATTGGTTTCGCCGCTGTCAATTTCTTCTCCGAGGAGTAAAAACAATAGAATGAGTGTTCATACATTTGCATATAGACAGCATATTTTACACCAACATGGCCGTGTCAACATCAACACGGGGTATAAAGTATTTTTTTTTTTTATCCTTGTTATTTTCATTGAGAGTTATATATACTCACTCTTCCAATTTTCAATGAACCAATAGTCCATTTGAAGATAGGATTAATGCATACGACTTAGTTATTAGAACTGGTCATCGTCAACCTCTATATGATCTCATCAATTAATTAGTAAAATAATTCTCTCAAAATCTACATGACTCAAGCTCTTCTTCTTACACTGCCATTTCAGTTGCTGCAGCTTCTTCTGTATGTTCATTTCGAATTCGACATATCTGTAAGATTGGCTGTATGTAATGATGCTGTTCCAATGGCTTTTTGTTGTGTTTGTTTGCCTATGGGGTCATGCTTTTGGACGAGCCGTTCCACCTACTTATCATCATCAAGGTAACGATCACGCACAAGCACGTGTATTTAGATTTATTGAAATGGTTTATGTTCATTTATATTCATGATAGGTATTTATGAAACTTCTGTAGGCACTTTTAAGTCGTTGACGAGTTTGGGGAAGAGTGATTGGGATCGCAGTGTGGATTTGTCGCGTTCGATTGCTATCAGCCCGAGTGTGGCTCTAGAGATTGATCATGCCATTCTAAGTGCCAGAACAGGTTGGATCAGTAGTCCGAGCTCGAGTTTGGATCCTAATGATAACAGAAAGGGAGGTGCATACAATACTAAAAAATATATCGGCAAAAAATAAAATAAATGAACAAGATACATACATATTTTTTAAAATTTTGATACTATTTACCGTCAGTACTTTTTAAAAAAGTTTTCATATCAAATAGATATCTATTCTTATAAAATATTATATCGAATATTCAATTTTTTACTATTTTAATATTTTTTCAAAATTTAGAAGAACTGCTAAGTAGAAATTTATAAAATTGTATGACACTACAAAAATAATAAAAATAAAATAAAATCCAAGAAACAATAATTAATTCATCATTAAGATTTCTTCGTTTGTCCAAAATGACATGATGCTCTTTTTTAAAAATAAAAAAAAAATATATTCGACGTGATATTTTTAAAAAATTATCGTTGATTGAATAATATATATTTAGAATTTTCGGAAGTATATATATAAATAGAGCGAAGGTAAATAACAAAAGGTGTTCCTCATTTTCTGATTTAAATTGTGACATATATTTCGATTTTATTTTATAGAGATGGTGAAGCCATTACGAAAGCTGAGTTTGGAAGAGATGAGTTCTAGTATCTCCAAAGATCGATTTATTATTAGCTCAAGCTTAAGATCAAGCTCAAGAGAGATGTTGGCATCTATTGGTGATCCTATTGATCCTAGGAAGTATCCCGGCGGACGTGCTTCCGGTCTGGCTGCAGCCCCGTGGCCCTACAGCCCGGCACATGCTCCAATCCCAAGCACGCGTAAGGGATTGAGGTTTTGTTTGAGTTTGTATTTATATTTGTGTTTTGAATTCCTACTTTTATTGTTGTTTCTAATGAATGTGCTTATTCTCAATTAATTGTTTTTTTAATATTAATTATTATATGAATACGTAGTACAAATTAGAAGAAAATGACAAAAATACTTTTATTAGTGTCTTATAATACTATTATATTGATATTTGTGCAAAAAATTATAGAAATATAATAATATTTTTAATATTAATAAAATGACGCAGAAGATAAACGAGAACCTTAGAGCCAGACGGAGGAAATTTTTTTTTTTTTTAAAAAAATAATTATTTAATCATTCAAAGTAAATATACTTTCAGGTAAGGAGTCGTCTACATCGACAAGTCATTCTACTGGTATAATATTAGGTGTGGTAACATCAATTGTTATTGTGATTTTTCTACTTGGGGCTCTTCTTTGGTGGAAGGGTTATCGGCCATGTAAATACGCGACGAGGCATGGTAAAACTGATGATGAGGGTCCATCCCTCCATACTACACTGTTTACTTTGAAGCAAATTAAAGCAGCTACGAATAATTTCAACCCCAAGAACAAGGTTGGGGAGGGTGGTTTTGGTCCCGTGTATAAGGTGACAATTAATTTGAATATTGCATGTACAAGACTATAATAGCGCGTAGATTTTGATTCGTTTGTTTTATTTGAAGGGATGTCTAAAGGATGGCACCGTAATCGCGGTGAAGCAACTTTCTACCAAATCGAAGCAAGGGAACCGTGAGTTTGTGAATGAAGTCGGCATGATTTCTGTTCTAAAACACCCTCATCTTGTTAAGCTCTATGGATGTTGCATCGAGGCCAATCAATTATTGCTTGTCTATGAGTATATGGAAAACAATAGTCTTGCTCGTGCTTTATTTGGTACGCTTTTATTCAATCTCTTTATCTGGCGACGGTAGAGTCTTTTTAAAAAATTGTAAATCGTGTTTGCAATTTTTTAGGTTCCGAAGGACAACAATTACACTTGGATTGGCCAACAAGGCGCAATATTTGTCTCGGAATTGCACGAGGTTTGTATTTCCTTCACGAAGAATCAAGGATCAAAATTGTCCATCGGGACATCAAGGCTACTAATGTACTTCTTGATAAAGATCTCACACCCAAAATATCTGATTTTGGTATTGCCCGGCTCGATGAAGAGGATTGCACGCATATAAGCACCCGCATTGCCGGAACTTAGTAAAAATTCAATCATTCACTTTATTAATTCTACTTTGGTTTTATTCATATACCTCGATGTATATAATTATTGTCTTGTTTTCCTATTTCAAGTGGATACATGTCGCCCGAATATGCTATGCGAGGTTATTTAACGGACAAAGCAGATGTTTACGCATTTGGGATTGTTCTTTTGGAAATTGTTAGCGGGAAAAGCATAGCCACAACCCGTGGGCCGAATGGCGATCCCTTCTTTCTTTTAGAATGGGTAAATTCATTATCGCAATTTTAAATCTATCGATTTTTTTTTTTTTTTTTCGGATTTATAATTTGCAAAATGTAATATTTTTGTGTACAAATTTAGGCAAAATCTTTGAAGAAGATGGGGAAATTGCTAGAACTAGTTGATCCAAGATTGGAATCTAACTACAAGGAAAATGAGGTAAAAATAATTATCGAGTTGGCGTTTGTTTGTACGAATGTTGAATCTACGGAGAGGCCGAATATGTCAACTGTTGTCAACATACTTGAGAAAAAAACTTATGTTTAATTGAAATTTCACCAACAAAAAATTGTAAATAAGATGTCAACGGGGCTCTCACCTTCTCTTGCTTTCGTAAGTAGAAAATTTGGGAATGACATATTGTTGAGAATACTTCTCAAAATGAAATTGACATAATAAAATTAGTGTTTGATTGTCAAGTTGGACTATTTTAGTGTAGCAATATTTTATATACACTCTAATTGTAATATGTGCTATACATTGGCATTTTTTATTTATTCTTTGATATTTTATAATATGATATATATTTTAAATAAATAGTTTACATAATTGTTGAACTATTTTTATTATTAAAAAAAAATAAAGATAGATATTAATGAAATTACTAAAGATACATTGATAAATATATTCAAATAATATTTAAACTATCACTTTAAAGTTCTTCAACAAAATAAAATTAAATGGATATAATTCTATATATTTTCTTTAATTTTAATTAACAAACTATTTTACATACTCTCAATTTTTAATACTGCTGGACGTATTTTTTCACCAAAATTTTTTTGATATATATATTTTTTAATTAATATTAATAGATTTGTTTGTAAAAAAAAAAAATTCTACACAACTTTTAATATATATATATATATGTATATTATCATCTTAAAAAAAAATCATCTTAAAAAAAAAAAAATTAAACCAAAACACTAAACAAACAAATCCATTATAAAAAGAATTTGATATATTTTTCAATTAATATTTTTAAATAATTATAACATACTCAGATAGGCAAGCAAAATATATATATATATATGTATAATATACTCTATACATTTAAAAAAATTAATAATTCAATACAAAACCTAATTTAAAGACTAAATCAAACTAAAAACAAACAATCATACTCCTCATATTTTGTAAAAATAGTTATCTCAATTCTATTTAGAAATTTGTTAGAAAAAATCCATTTTTGTAGCTACAATTGTAATCTTAAAAAATTTTAAATTCTTAAAATAATTTGAAAATAGTGTACATGAAGTTATGAACAATTCAATTTAAGTCTCTTATTATTTTATTTCTAACTTATATTGCAATTAGAATTATACATGTGGGCGGGGTCATATAAATTTAATTTACAAAAATAATATATTTATACCGAGTGGCCCCACAAATAAATATGTCTGTATTATTTGGTTTTTACTCACCATGCACTTACAAAATTTTTTCTCATACTCAAGCATGCACGCATCCATTCAAAATCGAAAAAAATAATTGGTTCTATTTGATTGTAGTTTGAATTTGAATTTGAATTTTTTTTTTTTTAATTTGTATTTTGATGTGATCTTTTATGAAAAAATAGTACTTCTTCCGTCCCAAAAGAGTTGTCTTATTTTTTCATTTTTGTCCGTTTCAAAACAATTGTCCTGTTTCTTTATTTAGTAACCGTGGTCCCTACTTTATAACAAAATTATTCATACTTTTTCAAATTACCCATAATTATTACTCTAACCTACTTTTTAAAATCCTTCAAAAAGTAAAGACATTTTAGTCTTTTACATTCTATTTTATACTCACTTTTAATTAAATACTATTATTTTTTAATTTTCGTGTCAATTTCCAACAAGACACTTCTTCTGTGACGGAGGGAGTAAATGTTTATTAAAAACTGTGCTAAGTTACTACGTAGTTATTTTTAAAAAAAGAAAGTGAGATGAGATATATGACGGATAGAAACAACAATGTGGACACGGGACGGAAGGAGTAATAGAGTTTAGTAGGTTATTATATTATTTTATTATTTTTATATCAGTGGGTATTATTGATATTTTAAAATAAAAATTAATGTATATGATTAAAAAAATAAAATAATATTTAAATATTTTAAATATTATACATCAGTGAAATATACTATCTCCGGCTTTAAAGGTCTTATTTACTTTTTGCGTGTTGATATTTAAATATTAGTTATTATATGAAAATATAGTACAAATCAAGATAAATAAAAAAATATTTCTAATAGTGTTTTATAATACTATTATAATGACATTTGTACAAAAAAATTATACAAATATTTTTTTTTAATGATAAATACAATTACGCAAAAAGGTAAACGAGACATTTTTAGAACAGTACAGAGGGAGTATATAATATGAATATTATTTTGTAGAAAATAAAATTTTATATAATAAAAAATATTTATAATTAATATAGACTAATTTTATACTCCATCCGTCCCTTAACAATCTATCTATTTTTTCATTTTCGTCCGTACCACAATAAAGTATCCATTCTTTTTTTTTTTAGTAATTGTACTATCTACCTAATATTACAAATACTCATCCAATTTACAATATATTACACAAATGTCATTACCTTTATATCATACAATACTAATATGGTTAATTTAGTCTTTTTACCTTTATTTATACTCTATATTAATATAATACTAATATTTCTAAAACTTTATATAAAAAGCAAATATAAACGTGGGACATGGCATGTAGGAGTATAATATAAGGAATTTTATATATAAATAAAAATATTATTATTTTACTGAGGAGAAATTTAGGAGTATAATATAGGGAATTTTATATATAAATAAAAATATTATTATTTTACTAAGGAGAAATAGAAGAGATTTTAAGGAAATCCTAATATTATAAATTTAATTAACTTAATTTATATTTATTAATAAATTTATTAAAAATAAAAATATATTAACTGTTATAGTGCAGATAGAGTATATAACTATTATTATTAGTTGTGGATCCCGCGCTAAAATATTCAAATATATATACATAGATATATAAAATTTAGAAAAAAAGTGATATAATAATATATATATATATATATTACTCGCTCCGTCCCACATTGAATGTATGGATCATTGTAGACACAAAAATTGGGATAAGTATAATTAGTAGATAATTAAAAATATATTAGTGAAAATAATTATCTTATAATATGAATAATTATAAATTAAGATGATAACTAATTACTTTAATTAAAATTTTAAAAAAAAATTAAAAAGTTTAAAATCAGATTAAAGTGTGTAATCATTTTCCAAAAAATGAAAGTGACATGGGATGTGAGACGGACAGAAACGACAATGTGAACATGGTACGTGGGACGGAGGAAATATATTATAACAAAGGGTAAACTGTTTTTTAGTATGTAATTGACCCTTCATTATTTTAGTCATATAACTGGAGGTAACCGGAGGCTGTTATAAACTAATTCCGTAAGTAAAATTTTTTCTCAATTTAGTCCTCAGGTGGTATCTGCGCGACAGACTGGCTGACACATATCTGCCACGTGGATTATTTTTATTTGTATTTTTTTAAAATATAAAAAATTACAATTATAAAAATAAAATAAATAATAAATAATAAAATAAATAATAAAAAATAAAATTATCCATATGTACGTCAAGTCAGCACTATGTGACTTTTAATAATTTATATATTAGTATATTTTTTAATTGTATTTTTTATATTTTATTTTTATTTTCAATATAAAAAATATAAATTATTCATATAGCGGCCATGTGGTAGTGATCTGACCGACATATGGATAATTTTTATTTTGTCATTTTAATTTTTATATTTTATTTTCTTATATTTTGAAATTTTATTTTTTTATATATTTTATATATTTAATTTAACTTTTATTTATTTATTTTAAAAAAAATAGAAATAAAAAAAATAAAAATTATCCATGTGTCAGTCACGTGGCGCGCGCTGATCTGGCCGACACGTATCCGCCAGTTTGCCACGCAGATGACCAATAGGCATTCCGGACTAAATTGAAAAGTTTTTTTCACTTACGAGATTAGTTTAAGACAACCTTCATTTACGAGACTAAAATAATAAAGTGATCCAGTTACGAAATTAAAAAAATAATTTTCCCTATAATAAAATATATAATGTGTTATAAATATATTGTATACTATATATATATTATATACTTTAATAACATGCATGGATTTGATTAAATCAACACCATAATAATTTAATTCAAATCGACGTGTAGGATGTATAATCCGTTGTTGTAGTACTTAAATATATATTTGAATGTAGATGTTATACTATATTTTTCATAAGATTCAATATATGTAGGTGTGTTTGTGATTGGATTTTAAATCCACTGTTCATCATATTTTTTCCCCCCAAATACATCAAATTAAACACGTATTTTTTATTTTTTATATTATACTAAAAATCAATTTTACATTCAAAATATCACATCAACACCTATTTATATCACATCATACAACTATTCAAATTCAAAATTTTTACTATTCAAATCCCAACTCAAAATCCAAACCCCCAAACAAACACACCCCGAATACTACCACCGTCCCATAACAAAGTATCAATTTTTCTATTTTAGTCCGTTCCATAACAAAATATCCATTTCCTTTTTTTTAGTAACTGTATTATTACCTAATATTACAAATACTCTTACAGCTTACAATATATTACACAAATGTCATTACCTTTATATCACACATACTAACAAGATTATTTTAGTCATTTCAACTTTATTCCTACTATATTCCAATATAATACTAATATACCTAAAACTGCGCGTAAAAAGTAATTGAATACTTACTAATGAGACGGAGGGAGTATTACTTTATTGGTCCCAGTTGATTTGTTCATTCTTTCAGATTGGTGGTCTCATATAAATTGTTTCTTTTTTTTTTAAAAAAAAAATAATTATACACTTTAATCACATTTTTAAATTCATAATTTATATACATATTTTTTTATTTTAATTAAATTATTTAGTTATTTTAATTTTAATTTATAATTATTTTTATTATATCATAATTATTTTTACTATTAACTTTTTAAATAATTATTAATTATATGGTATTTAAAACTTTGTGCCACTGTTAAAATGAACAATTAACTGGACGGAAGGAATATATATTTTCAAATATTTAATTTTTCTCCATTTCAATTCAAAATATTATTTTACCATTTTTGTTTGTCTTTTTCAAAGTATTTTTTCTTATTTTAGAAAAAATAATTATAAATTAATACCAAAATACCGTTAACTTTTACCTAAATTACAAACATATCATTGCAAATATAATTACTTTATACATAAAGTTAAATGATAAAAATATCAAAATATCTTATGCATTTCCACTGACTAATAAAATATTATTAATATTTATTAATTTACTACAAAATTTCAAAAAATGATTTGATAATGGACGGGTGGAGTAAATAATTTCAGTATATATTGTTTAATACTCCCTCTGTCCCAAACAAGGTGCAACATTTGTTTTTGACAGGGATTTTTAGGTGGATAGTATTAAGTATGATATTTTAAAAGTAGGTGATGTGATGGAGAGAGAAATATATATTTTATTTGGACGATGTGAGAGAATAAAATGTGAGGTAGAGATTATATATAATTAATTATTTTCTATTTTAAAAATATTGCATGGTATTTGAAACATACTAAAAAAAATGCTGCATAGTATTTGAGACTGAGAGAGTATTATATAAAAGTTAAATCATTTGATATTTATTTATATGAAAAAATAATTGTAAATTCAAACTAAAAAATCAAAACAACAAAATATATTTTAGGTATTTAATTACATATTATCATAATAGTATTAGGAAAAGCAAACACCTCCCTCGTGGACATTCCCCCAAAGCCAAACCGCGTCATTAAGGCATCAATCGAAATTACCACACTACCCCTACTCCAGCAGGGCAAATCCGTCCAACCATGTCAAAGAAAGAAGAAAACAGCAAACTGAGGAGGAGAGTTGCAGAGCGGAATTCGTCCCCACGCTGAGTGCTGCAGGTTTTTGATTCTCCCAATGCCCTGTCCTCTGACCGCCATTTTCGTCCTTTTCCTCTCCTCCGCCTCACCTTCTCCCCACCACTCCAATTTCCCATTCATTCTCTGCGATTCAACAAGACTCTCCATGAAATGAAATGAAAATGCTTTCATCTTTCTTCTCAATGGCAGACCTCTGAATGAATCTGATTTCACGAACTGTCTTAATGAGGTTAGTGCAGTTTTCCTTTCCATCGTTTCGATTCCGTTTGAAGGTTAGATTTTGCTGAGGGAGATTTTCCTCGGCGTTTTGTGGCTTTTTAGTTTTTTAAATCAACTCTGAGATCCTTTTTCCCTTTCGGGTTTAGGTATTTTTGTATTCATATTTCACTGCTTAAAGATTCCATCTTTTGTTTGTTTTTCTAATTGGCTTCATTCCGGAACACACACTGCCCACCCACGTGTGTATGTGTGTGTGTGTGTTCATTTGCATAAATCTTTACATTTTATTTTTTTGGTTTATGGTGTTTTGCATCAGGTGTTTGGGAGAAATCTGATGATGACGATGATGGTGTTTTGTTGATTAAATCAGCTGTTCATCTCGATTTTTGAGGGCTTTCTAAAGGTAACTCTATTTTTACTTTTCTTGTAAAAGTAATTTTTAGATGTATGTTCTTTTTAAGCTTTTCTTGAGAGCTCCTCCCATGGCCGAATGGATCATGAAGTGGATCCATCAAGAATGAATCACGTGAGCACCACGTGGGGGTTGGGGGGGTGGGGTTGGGGGACTGATTATGTGAGTGAAGAATGTTGGATTAAGAAATGTGCGAAGAGTTGAAGTTAAAATGTAAAATTTTCATCTTTGAGTAATTTTAGGATTTTGAAATGATGATGTGAAAGGACTTTCTTGAATAATCTTTGTAATGAAAGTGATGGATGAGCGTTGTAATAATTTATGGGCCATGGAGAGATTTTAACAGCGGATTTGACGAGGTAAAAATGTGATGAAAGAATTCAAAGAGGGATAGCTAGTTTGGGTTTGTTTCTATACATATGTGTCGAAACTTTTTTCGGGTCGTTATGATCGATTTGTACCTCCATTTGCCAAGCTATACTCCGGTCCTTGATCACGTTGGGAATGGAAATTCGTGATCGTGTTTGCGACTCTATTGATTGTGGTCCGTGCATGTGTGTGTGTCGTAATGTGGTTACAAATGAGCTGATATGTATGCTATCTAAGTTTGGTTGTTGCTGTTATAAGTCGTTAGGACCGAATTCCATGTGTCAAAAGTTGACAATGTCATTGGCTGTATTTTATCGGCTTTTGGTTCATCGGTTTATGCATAATAAAAAGGGTAAACTAAATTTGTACCTTATGAAATACCGAATGATCTGAATCCTCGTGTGCTTCGATGCAATTTATGTTTCCTAAGAGTTCTCTTACCGGTTAACATTTTGTAGCTTTTGGATTTATAATTTTGTTATGTAAATATGAAGAAAAGGATTCTTGTTACTTCGACTGAAATCGAAAAGGCCCAAATTTCAAGTCAAGTGTTGTACTTGAAGAGATTGAGTTCAACTTATGCTCGTGTTATAATACCTATCGTTTTCTTGCTGGAATGTTGTCATTATTCGGTCTAATGTGATAATTCTAGATTCCGTTTTTCGTTGGTCAAAGATTTCGTGGAGTTCTGAGATTGTGACGTTGATCAACGAATAAAGTTTATGCCTTTTCACTCTAGTTGAAACTTGGCCGTCGTGTTATGACTATTGTTGTTGTCACTAGTTCGTTTTTTGGTTATTTTTATTGTTTTAAGATATTGTTTATTTTCTTGTTTCAGATGGATTTGGATGATAATTTGTCGAATAATAAGAGTAGACTGTCCGGCCCATTTTCTAAGGTCTTTCGAGTTCAAGCTGCTTCCGGGGTACCTCAAGATGAGGGAATGAAGAGGTCGAAGACCCTCGAAAAGACAAATTCCGATGTAGTCCAAAAATCCCGGCTTCCTTCTGAAGATGAAAACGACGAGGCTGTTAGAAATGAAGCATTTTTCGCGCAACTGTTCGCCAGCATATCCACTGTTAAGGCTGCGTACGCACAGCTGCAATTTTCCCAATCGCCTTACGATGCGGACGGGATTCAATCAGCCGATCAGATGATTGTATCGGAGCTTAAGAATGTGTCAACGATGAAACAGAATTACTTGCAGAAACCGGCGTATGCTATCCCTCCCGAAACGTCACTTCTTCTGTCCGAGATTCAGGAGCAGAAGAATCTCCTGAAAATTTACGAGATCACCGGTAAGAAATTGGAATCGCAGCTGAAACTCAAAGACGACGAAATTACCTCTCTTAAGAAGAAATTGTGCGAAGCCGAGAGGGGGAACAAGGTGCTAGAAAAGAAGGTGAACGCAAGCGGGCAGTTAGTCCATCCGGAGAATATACGATTATCAGACCTACAGCCGAGCCATTTCGTTGCATATTTCCGACATATGCTTAAGTCCGTCCGTAGCTTTGTCCGCTTGCTGATCGGAGAAATGGAATCCACAGGATGGAATATGGATGACGCAGCCTGCTCGATCGAACCTGATGTCTCGTTCTGGAAACCGAGTCATAAATGTTACGCGTTCGAGTCCTTCGTGTGCAAGAAAATGTTTGACGGATTCAACAACTCCAACCCAATCGAGTCCATGCCGAATCAGGGCGATCACTGCGGTCGCCAATTTTTCGAGAGATTCACGGAGCTAAAATCGGTTCGGCCCAAGGATTACATATCCCGAAAGCCTAAATCGCCGTTCGCTACATATTGCCGTAGAAAGTACGCGGAAATTGTTCATCCGAAGATGGAAGCATCCCTTTTCGGTAACTTGGGCATTAGGGATTCCGCGGATTCGATTAATTTTCCTGATGCTCCGTGTTTTTCGGCGTTCATCGAGATGGCGAAGCGTGTATGGGTCCTACGTTGCTTGTCGTTGTCGTTCGATCCGCCAGCCTCGATTTTCCAGGCGGGAAGGGGAAGCCGTTTTTGCGAAGTGTACATGGAGAGCTTAAGCGACGAGGCTTTCTTGATTTGTGATAGCGCCGGCCCGGAAGCCGACCCTCGTGTGGCATTCACCGTAGTTCCCGGGTTCAAAATCGGGCCAACCGTAATTCAATGCCAGGTATATCTTCGCCGTTAAGTTCTTTTCTTTAAGCTTTTGGATCGCGATCGATATCTAGCAACTGTATATGGATAGCTAAAAACTTTTAGTTTAAGTAGCGCCGTCTCCAAGTGTTTTGACATAAATATAAAAGCGCGATGATAGTATTTAGACATTCCATTCGAATCTTATAACTCGAACCTTGTGTTATATGCCTATATATATATATATATGTATGTCGATGTACGTAACAGATACAACCATAATTGGCGCAACTCCGAGCTACCTAAACATTAAATTAACTAAAATCGACATAGACATAGCGAATTATTTGTTCGTTCAATGGATTATTGCGCATCAAATATTTAGGCTATGGTCCGGTGTCCTATATTGAGGCTCGGAATAGACTTTCTTGATCCACGGGGATGGATGTCTTGTACTACATTGGATTGGGCTCGATTTGAGTCGACATTTGGGTTTTCGATGTCCGGGACGTTTTCATATCTGAGGATTGGAGACGGTAGGGATGGCAATGGGTGGGGTATTGGTCAGATCCAGTCGGACCCGAGACCCGATTCGAATACACATATTTGGATCTGAGACCCAAATCAGACTATATCCGGACCTGACCTGAACAATACTCGACAAGATCCGTCAGACGCAAAAATGTTCTTACAATTCTTAAAATTTAACTTAAAATTGGATTCGGATTCTAACATATATTAAAATTTATATATTTTATTCAAAGTATTATATTAAAATAATTAATATATATAATTAATATATTAGTAATATATTGATCGGATCCAGACAGGTTCACTTTTGGACTCGAGACCTGATAAGAGTACACAAAATCCGACCGGACTCAGACCCGGATTCAATAAGGACACACAATACCCGATCGGACACAGACCCGGATCCGATATCCTAATAATTGGACCCAAACCCGGATCCGATCTCCGAATTGGACTCGACCCCAAATAAATGGATCGGGTCCGGGTCAGGTCGGGTGTCAGGTCTACCCGGGAGTCCGGGACACATTGTCATCCCTAGACGTGTGGGTAGAAATGAGAAGTAAAAACATCGTGAGCGCAAGAAATCGAACCATTTTTCAGACAATGTTGGATATAAAATAGTGTCGATTTGAGTTTGAGGATTAAGAAATTCATTTGAACTATACATAAAGTGAGAAGATCAAAAAGTGGGTGGGTACCTTAAAGAGAAAGGGTTTTGAAAATATGACTACACTTAGCATTCAATCGACACAATTTAGAGTAGCCACCCGTTGAAAAAACTTAGCGGTTGTGCTTCTGTTGGATAAGGTTCAAGTATTTTTACTATATAATCATCGCACTTTTTTTTGTAAATATATATATATATATATGTATATTATAAATATTATCATTGTTCAAAAAATAATAAGTTCAAAAAACACAATCAGATCTGTTTTTTAAAGGTAAAATCATTATTAAATACTCCTTCCGTCCCGCGAAAAATGGAGCCTTTTGTTAGGGACACGGTATGGTAGACAGTGTAGGTTATTAAGTTATTAATAATAAGTTAAGATAATATTTTATTATTTTTTTATATGTGTAGTGTTGTTGCTATTTTAAATACTTTTAGAATTATATCTCAATAAAATATATACAATATGTATATCATTTTGTAGACAATAAAATTTTATATAATACAAATGAATAAAAAAATATATATTTATTTATTTATCATTATCATAAATTAGTTTTATAAAAAAATGAAAAATTTTAAAGATAGATAAAAATATTTGTTAATTGAGGAGAGAGATAGAAATAAAGAGGTTTTGAGTGGTCCTACTTGTAAGACGTTAGAAGTTTAATTAAATTGATTTATATTTGTTAAGTATGTTTAAGATTGATAAATTTACCAAAAATAGAAAGAGATTATCTTTCGTGAGACGTACCAAAAATAAAATGGGGTCGTGGCGGGACAGATAGAATATTATGTTTTATACTCCTTCCGTCCCATAATAAAGTATCCATTTTTTCATTTTAGTCCGTCCCATAACAAAGTATCAATTTTCTTTTTTAGTAACTGTACTATCTACCTAACATTACAAATACCCTTACAACTTACAATATATTACACAAATGCCATTACATTTATATCACACATACTAATAAGGTTATTTTAGTCATTTCTACTTTATTCCTAATATATTCCAATATAATACTAATATTTCTAAAACTACGTGCAAAAAGCAAATTGATATTTTTTTTTGGGACGGAGGGAGTATAACAAAAGTATGTACTTCCTCATTCTATTTAGTAATTATATATTTTTGTCATTTTTCATTGTCTAAGCTCGGAGTAATATATAATTTTTTTAATGTATGGACAACAGAGTATGCACATTACAAATATCCTTATATTTATATTTATTGAAATGAATATTCTCACATTAATTTTACATATTATATAGGTAAAATAGTCGATCGGGGCGGGTCTAGTTTCTCACATTAATTTTACTTATAGACGCCTTCGAATTTTGTCTGCCACACATGGTTCGCATAGTGTGACTTCCTTTGTCGAGCATAGTTTGTAAACTATTATGTTCGACCAAAAGTTTATCCAAAGTGCATTCAAAAGGTAGCGACTGCGGATTCCCACGTTATAAAAAAAATAGTCAGAGGCGGATTTAATTTTTTTTTACTAATAGCACAATAGATAAATTAAAATTAAAATATTAATATTTATAAAAAATAAATTATATTGATAATATAAAAAATAATACTCCCCCCGTCCCGTAAAAATGTTACTGTTTATTTTTTGCACGTAGATTTTTTAATATTAGTATTATAGTAGGTTGTAGTGAAAAAGACAAAAATACCCCTACTAATGTCGTGTAATAAAAAAATAATGGCATTTTTGTAATATAATGTAAGTTGGAACGATATTTATTACATTAGGTAGATAATACAATTACTAAATTAGGAAATAGTAACCTTGTTTTGAAACGAACGAAAGTAAAAAATAACAATATTTCAATGTGATGGAATGAGTAATATAATAATGGATTAATCCAACTTATTTTTAGATAGTATGACTCTACATAAATATTATCAAAAATAAAATATATACGTACTGATACAACATATATAATATTGGCAAAATAACAAAAAAAACCCTGTAGTTTTTCGAATTTGTTGAAAATTCCCCATGGTTCTAAAAATCTAAAAAACCTCTCCGTGGTTTCTAAAATGTTGCAAAAAATCCTCCATCCATTAGGATTTAAAAGTGGTTGTATGTCACGCGCGTGATATATTTTTGTATAAAATTACTAAAATACCCTAATAACTATTTCTACAACATCTTCTTCTTCCTTATTCTTTTTCTTCCTTGTTCTTCTTCATACTTTTAAAAATTAATCTCAGTTTATTTTTTTTTCATTTTAAATCCACTAAGCATAACCAAATTTGAAATAGATCCCAAATTTATTGTTCAATTTCTTCTTCTATTTTACCAAATCCAGAAATCAAAGAAACCAATTTAACATCCAGATTTTAAATCAATCTAAAAAGAAGTGAAAGAATTTGGCATTGTTGGTTGCAGAAGAAGAATTGAGGATGAAAGAAGAATTGGAGAGGAAAAATAAAGAAGAAAGAAAATTGGGTGAAAAAAGAGAGAAAGAAGAAAGAAATTTGAGGAAAAAAAATAATAAAAAACCTGGTCCAGCCCGCTTCTTCTTCTTCTTTCTTTTCTTGTTCCGCTTCTTCTTTCTTCTCTTTCTCTTCTTTGTTCCTTCTTCCCTGCTCCAGCCGTTTCTGCCGGTCGTCTTCTTTCTCTTCTTATTATTTTCCAGTTCTTCATTTTTCAAAGAAGAATTGGAGATGAAGAAGAAGGAAAAAAGAATTGGAGAAAAAAGAAGAAAAGAAAGAACAGGGTAAGGCTGCGGGGCGCGAAAAAGAATTGGAGAAGAAGAAAAAAAAATTGCGAAAAACCTGCGTGTGAAGAAGAAATTGGGGAAGAAGAATCTCTTGGAGAGAAGAGAAGAAGAAAGAAATAAATTAAAACATATATAAATAAAGATATAACGGTCAAATGTGATAAAAATTAACGTCCGTTAGTCAAGTTTAGAGATGGAGGAGAGTGTGTAGCATTTTGGAAACCACATGTAGGTTTTTTGGAATTTTAAAATCAGAGGGGGGTTTTCAGCTAATTCGAAAAACCATATGGGGATTTTTTACTATTTTGCCTATAATATTTATGAGAAAATTGCAACAAATATCTATACTTATGGTCAATTATCATTTTTGTCTCTTAATTGTCACACTGAAAAAATATATTATACATTAGTCACTTTTTCGCAATTTTTATTTTCCTTAGCACCATTTTACTCACACCGACACCGTCATGAACTTGATGCACGGCTAAGGACAAAATTTGCAAAAAAGTGACACATATGAGATATATTTTGTCAATGTGACAATTAATTTAAAGACAAGACTGATAATTGTTCAATTTCGAATATAAAATTAATTTATATTTTTTTAGCGTTTTGGTTTTTTGGCTCTAAACAACTTCGGATTAACAAGAAATCGCTGGTTGATTCGTATGCTCATTTCGGATGAACCGTGCGAATTTTGTTCATTTCTTTATCTAATAATTAATTTATATATATATTTTTATCGTTTATGGTTTTTATGGTCCAAAATGAGTTTGAATTAATAAGAAAAATATTATTGGTTGGTTTGTTTGATCATTTTGGATGAATCATGCAAATTTTGTCGAATTTTGAATCTAAAATTGAGTTTACGTTTCGGTTTTTCATTTTGGATAAATCATGAAAGTTCTATTTAATTTAGATTCAAAAAATGAGCTACATTTTTTTGCATATAGGATTTTTAGAGCCTTTAACAACTTCGGATGCACAAAATAATATCTTTGGTCGATTCGTTTGGTCATTTAGGATGAAACGTGAGAATTTTTTCAAATTCCAATCTAAAAATGGTTTAATATTTTTTTAGCGGTTATGGTTTTTAGGGCCCTAAGCTATTTTGGATGGACAAAATAATATCACTAGTTGATTTTGTTTGGTTGTTTATTATCCGTGCAAGTATTGTGTAATTTTGAGTCTGAAAACATATGTACAATTTTTTTAAGCCTCTAGAGTTTTTGGGGCCCTAAATAACATCGGGTGAACAAA